TGGCCTCGTCGGACGCGAAGTCTATCGTTGGGCCGACGTTCCTGACCCAGGACTGTTGGACGAGCTCCCTTTCTATTCCTAGCTGCTGTAGTAAGCAGGGAGCGGTCGCGTAACGACGAGTCACATAGTCCGGCGAGAGATTCCTGTCGCTAGCCAATTCTTTGCGCATAGTGGAAGAGGTTAGCGTGGGGCTGATTCTCAATGGTATATCCGCGTCGGCGTCTTCCTCCTTCAGATCGTTCAGCTTGTCTATGCCTGCCCCGAGCCGAGAACGGAGATTTCTGTAATTGAGATGGAGCTGTTCGAGGGTTACTGCGTTGCGTAGAACGTTGATGATGCGCCCCTTTGCGTCGATCTGATAGCTTGGCCCGACTCGGTTCACTCGCCAAGTCGCCGCCTCGTCCACCAGCGCTTGTACCTTTCTGACGCACTCCTTCAGTTCGGATAGCAAGGGGCCTTTCAGGTGGAAGCGGTAGTTAGGGATTTCGCCCGCGCTCTCGTCCGATAGTGGCACTCCGGTGTCTACTATGTCTTCGGCATGTAGCGGGCGATCAGCTAACGCCATAGCTCGATCCTGGAGGGACATCCCTCGGTCCTTGCGATCGAGCCATTCGTCTATGACCCTCCTCAAGTACGGCCTTCCCGCGTCCTCTTTCGCCTTCTCTCTCGTTCTCCCCCCGCTTCTTACTATTCCCCGATTGCGGGTTGCCCCTTCATCGTCCTCCTCCGCTTTCCGCCCATAGGGGGGCGAGTCCAGGGCGCGGTTCCAGTCCGGGGCTGGGATCCGTGCGGGCTGTGTCGCCGCTCCTGGTGTCGGTGCGGGAGAGGCCGGCATGTAGGCCGATCCTATCGGGAACATCCCACGGTGCCTTGTGTGAGGCCGTAACGGGAGCTCTTCTCTGTTCGTCGTGAGTCACTCGGAGAAAGCCGAAGAGGGAAAGTGGGTCAACGGTGTCGCAAATAGGGATTCGGCGCTTTGATCCAGATCGCTATCTGGTTCCTAGCCCCTATCCTCAAGCTTCGTCCTCCCAGTGTCCACCAATGTGAACGCTTCGTTCGATCGGAATAGCGTTCCGGGAGTGTGGGGACGGAGCTCGATGGATGAGAGTGCCGTTCGTAGCGCCGAGTCGTAGTTGGGGTAGAACCCGTATGTTCGCTCTCGCAGTCTCGGTGGAACCGGAGCGACTGCGATAGCGAGTAGGAGGTACCTGGACGTAGCCAGAGCAATCAGTATGCGTGTCAGTCCACGCGGCTATACACTGAAAGGGGGCTTTCTCCTGAAGCCCCGGGAACTCCCCCTCTGGAGGGAGTCGCGTTATTCGCAGGTCGTCCCTAACTTCGGGACGAGCGAATGACACGACAGCAAAAGATGTATTCAACTCCGACGCAACGGCTATTTACACTCGCAGGTCTCGCTTAAGCGACTAGACACGTGATGACGAACGACTAACTCCGTCAGTTCCTCAAGGCCGTCACACGATATAGACGAAGCTATCTGTGTTAGTGAAGAGGCTCTACTGCTCTGTCCTCTGGCGCACGCGGATAGGGCAAAAGTTCTTCACGGAACCATGCTGTCACTCTGTAACAGGTTTTCTGTCCTTGGTACGACCGAGGATCTCGATCGAGCACTGCAAATTGGTCGGCATGCAATAGATGAAGAGCAACTAGGCCGCTATCCAATTATTCTCAGCGTGGTCGCGATACTACTACTCTACAAGGTTTCTAATGCGCTGGCTGCCACTGCCGGGCATGAAATCGACGACTGTATCCAACTGTGTCGAGAAGCCTTACAGCTTGCGCCCTATCGCACGACACCTTTCAGACAATCGAGGCACACTCTAACCGAGGCTTTGAGGATTAGATTTTCACAATTCGGCGACCCGAGAGATTTGGACGAAGCCATACAGCTAGGGCGGCAGGCTATTGATGACGAGACCAGTGGCCATATCGCGGTTCAATACGCGATTTGCGCCCTGACAAGGTTGCTTGGTATTCGCTTCACAGAGGGGAAAGATATCAATGACCTCAATGAAGCATTGAGTTTCAAACATGACCCACCATGGTCTCATATTCGCGATGAAGGGATGATCGTCAGAACCTCGCTATTGATTACTAGATTTCAAACTCTACACAACGGGGATGATTTGGGACCCGCTATATCACTGGCAGAGAAGCTGCGCCGAACCTTGCCAGAAAACCATATTGACCTGGTCAGGGTCGTCCTTTACCTGGCAGAGGCACTTCTCCTTCGCGGTCAACACGATCATGACCTCGTTGACATTGACCGTGCCATTTCCGAGCTCAGATCAATCGAGGACCGGTCAAGTCTAGGATTAGAAAAATATGATTACCTTCGCATTCGTGCAGCATGCCATTCGTCCAAATTCGATCTCATCTACAGTTGCAAGGACGCAATCCAAGCATTTGAAATTCTTCAGGAAATGCTATGCTCGATCCCTTCAGGCCATAGGCTCCGCAACCAATGCCTTATCGACATGGCCGAGGTATGCATGCAAAGCGGGACTCCTCACTACAACATTTCCAGGGCATTGAATTATATGGAACAGGCCCTGTCAGACGATTACGGGGACGTGCGTTCACGGATTGAAAGTGCTGAACGTATATTTGAAAGTATCAGGACCCGCCACGGAGAAATATACAATGCACCACACCCAGTGCAATCGCAGCTTTTAGCCGTATACCAACAGGCTGTTACTCTTCTGCCTCGAGTCGGATTTTTCGGGCTTTATTTACATTCGCGTTTGCAGTCCCTGGAACGCGGTCAGAGTATTGCCCAGAGCGCCGCATCGCACGCGCTCAACCTGTCTTTGCCCGAGAAAGCTCTTGAGGTGCTGGAACAAGGTCGCGCTATATTCTGGACACACACCCTGCGCCTCCGCTCGTCATTCGATGACGTCCCCGACGACCTGCGCGCCCGGTTGTCAGCTCTTTCCATGAAGCTAGAGAGAGTTAGTGACATATCCCGCACTGGTACAATCCACGATGTACGAGCGGTAGAAGTGGAGACATCTCAAAGGAGGCAGCAAAGCGAAGAATTTGACCGACTGGTGAAAGAAGTGCGTCAGTTGTCGGGATTGGAGCGATTCATGCTTCACGACGAATTCTCCACCCTAGTCAAGGCCGGGGAAAAGGGCCCCGTTGTTGTGCTGGTTGCCAGCGCCTTGGCTTATCATGCCATCATCATCCAACCGTCTAGGACTGTTAGAAGCATCCCACTCCACGCAGTGACAGACAATTGGATTGCGTCATCCGGCGCTACTTGGCGATCTGCTGTGACAGAAGCCAGATCACTGATGAGGGGCCGTCTGAAGGTGGCCAAAACCAGCCTCGCTTCGAAATCCCCAATGACCACGGCCAACAACATCCTTCAAAACATCTGGAGCAATGTCGTGCAGCCAGTGATAAATGCGCTGGGAATTGAGGTCAGTGACTGTATCTGCTCAGTGGGATTGCTGAGAGTAAAACCTTCGTGCCTACCCAGCCATCCTCTAGTCGTTCTCGACCCCGCCTATGGTGGTGTCCAACAGGAGACTTCGTACACCTACCCATCCATGCTGCAGGTGTCGACGGCCGGTGGTGTTCGGACTACGTGGTGTCCTCGTACACACCGACCCTCGGCGTGCTGCTCTCAGGAAGGAACTCGTTCGCGGAAATCAGGAAGGACGAAGTGAAGGCTCTTGTGGCGGCGGTGCCCAGACCCTTCAAACACGATTTGAGTGACTTGATGTCTACACGGGAGGAGATGAGTTCTGTATTGTCTGCCTTACCGGAAGGTATAGCTATGACGCTCCCGCATCTCGACGACGCAATCCTGGATGACGACGGCGGTATCAGCGTCCCGACGCTCCTCGAGAAACTGCCTAATGCCACTATCTTGCATCTAGCGTGCCACGGTCAGCAAGATCGAGAGAATGCTCTCAGGAGCGGCTTCGTGCTACGCGACGAGATGCTCACCATCGAAAGATTGATACCCATTCCTCTCCCAAACGCATTCCTAGCATTCTTGAGCGCCTGTGAAACTGCTAAAGGTGACGAAGTAGGCATCGTTTTTAGTCATCGGGGCATTGCCAGTGCTGAAAGTTCCTTCGTTCCTTCGAATAGGGCCAACCAGATCAAGTGGTGCATCTCGCTGCTGCGATGTTATTTGCAGGATTCAAGAGCGTAATTGCTACCCTCTGGTGAGTGATCTCACCCGGCAATGAGGCCAAGATACTCACCAAAACCTCGTTCAGGTCTATGCAGGACGTGGACGGACCTATGATTGCTCAATCAGTCTACCGTGATATCTTCGCAGGCGACTCAGAGCTCCTCGATCCGGATGACGTGGCATATGCCCTCGATGCTGCGGTGCAGAACCTCCGTCGGGCTCACCCTGATCCAAGCAGATGGGCACCTTATATCCACTTGGGGATATGAATCTTGTGGCACAAGGTACCTGTTAGCGTGTAGGATATTGGTGGGGTCAAGTCTCAGCGCTTGTAAGCATAGCTCGAAAAGATGATCCGGATGCCGAGCAAGGGGTGGCGAACGCGGGAAGCCATCCCTGGCAACAGCGCCTATTCGTAGTATGGGCTTCACGTATGTAAGGTATCGAGTCCTTTGGCGGAGTCGAGTCTGTTGAGGCTTCCACTGCCAGGGCGTAGCGAATGGCTATAATGACACAATTCTCACCCGCTACATTTACTGAAATGAACGCGGCGCTTACTTGAACAAGGATCAGCAAAGGAGAGCGTCTAGCCGACTGGCACTCACAAGATAGTGGTGCATTCCCGATTCTTGTAAGACCTCTCGTCGATCTCGGACATCTGCTCCGCGAATGATCAATATCTTTCCAGATGTCTGCCATGTCGCTTCAATGAGACGGCAGCGCTGACCGTGCATTCCGGTCAGGACGGCTTCATAAGCACGGCGGTCCTTCCTAAGGCTTACGAGATAAACACAAACTTGTATGACAACAACGCGAACTGGAGGCGAATCTGCCATCCATGGATGTAAACGAAGAGTATGATCGCACATAGATGAATACAAAGCATCAGGCATCAGAGAAGCACACATCTCAACGTTGCTCTCTCGGTTCTGCAAAGCATTAGTCAAAATGGCGCCATCTAGATACAGAGGGTACTCACGACTCCACTGCACGCTCAAGATCAGGTTGTCGTACCCGAACCCGTTCATCTTCTGCATGGCGCGTTCCGCGACCGCCTTCTCCTCGAAGCTGACGAACGCGAATCCCTTGCCGGCGCCCGTCTCGCGGTCGCGGCCAACGAAAACGCGCGCGACGCGGCCGAAACGACCGAACAAGTCCCGCAGGTCGTTCTCCTGCGTGTCTTCGGAAATGTTCGTCACGCGGAGCGTGGGTAGGTCGTCGCGATTGCCGCTGCCTGGGCCGGTCATGCGTTCGCCAGGCCCGCGGTTTCGGAGCGAGGGAGGGACGTAGCGACCGCCGGTGGCGCCTCCACCGGGGACGGGTGCAGCGGCGGAGGGCTCGGGAGCGTCGTCATCGGCGGGTGGTGCGTCTGTGGGGTAACGGTCAGGAGATGGAGGAAGGTCGATATGCATCGGAACGCGACTCACCGGCGGAGTCAAGCCCAGCGAGACTGTCTTTGTAGGGACACTTCGCGGTGAAGTGACCACCCTTGCAAAGACGACAGACGACCTTGCCGGCACCAGCGCGAGCGAGGTTTTGCTTCACTTGATTTTCTTGTGACGGTTCCGCCTCAGAGCTCTAAGAAGCAACATGTTGGTAAGGCACTGGCGTCATGAGGACATCGGGGGGAGCATCGCACCTTATTGCCCGCCGAAATCTTCAATCGTACATCCTCTCCAACAGTCGTCGTCGCGCGATCCGGCCCCGGCTTGTTGCCCTTCTCCTGACCAAACTTCGCCCAGTGTTTCCTCTCAGCAACTGCGTGATCGACGACGGCTTTCTGTAGTACGCGCTTGATCTTGCGTGTGATCTGGAGGGTCGACGGTTATGTCCGACTGCTCTTGACAGTACTATCAGTCGTTACCTTGACTTTTTTCCCCTCATCGTTGATGGTGTACTCAATCGTTGTTCGGACGCCGTTTTCATCCACAAAGTCCTGGGGCTGTTGCTGTTGCTGTTGCTGCTCGGATCCTGAACGCCTCGTCAGGGAGATCGCCCCGGTATGACTGGAGACGGACTCACCTATGTCGTCCACATCGTCCGCCCAGGAAGTCTTTTGTGCTCTATACGAAGTTTGAGCATGGATTGTCGGTAACCAGTACGGAAAACGCACGCTGCCGCCATGATTGCGCCGGTCTGAGCGTGAAGGATCAGAAAAAGTGGGTTTGACTAATCTGGCGGGATCACAAATGGTCGCTCCCACGGTTTGTTCCTTCAACTTGAACTTCAACCTAAGGCTATTCCTGGGCAATGGGCATCACCCTTCGTCTCATGGCTGCAGCTCTGATACCGACGGAAGTATGGGAAATCGTGTTCAGCTACGCTATCGACGACGAGAGGATCTTGTCTCTTGAACCAGTGACCTCCTTCTCGGAATCCGCCTGGACGCGCACCTCCTCCGGCCAATGGATTCTGTCAAGTCCCAAGGATACCCTTGTCTCAGACCAGAAGGCCGTCTATTCGACGATTAAGGTCAACTATGTCTCTCTAGGGTTATGAAAGGGTCTGAACCGGCTCTCCTCAGGCCATTGTTGGGACCTGTAAGCTCTGGCGGAACATCGGCGCGGAATACCTATTCCGTTCTCTATTCTTCCAAGATCCGAAACGGCTTGAATTACTTCGGTCTACGTTAGAAAAAGAATCGATGCTCGGACGGTGGACAAAAAAGCTTCATCTGAACTTCTTATCTGCTCCATTAGCCTCTACGAAGGTCGAGGATGCCATCGTTTCCGTCATCAAGCAATGCAAGAACCTCGAAATAGCCATGCTCAACAGATCCCTGGCTCCCGTTTTTCCTAGGATCGCAGACGCCTTATGTTCTTACAATCGGAAATCGCTCCGCGTCGTACACTGGGAAGTCCCCGGCGAAGCCCTCCCAAAAGTGATCGCGACGCTCAGCGGCCTGCCGTACCTCACCTCCGCCCACATCGACATCGCCCGGCCGACCTCCGAAGTCCACCTCGGCTCGACCGCCAACCTCGCCCTGCGCCTGCGCCACCTGCGCCACCTCTCCCTCTCCGGCTTCCTCGAAGACTTCGTCGAACAAGCGATCGGCTGGACCTTACCCGCGCTCACCTCCCTCGCGCTCGACTTCGGCCTCGAACGCTCGGACCTCCCGAACGTGCTCGAGCTGCTCAAGCAGCACGGCCTCGGCCTGACCTCGCTCGACGTGACGTCCATCGTCCCGCTCAACGTCCCCGCCGCGCTCGCGCTCTGCCCCTCCCTCACCCAGCTCGCCTTCAACCCCAACTGGGCGCTCGACGGCTCCGGCGGCGCGCTCGGCCACGCGTCCGTCGAGCGCGTCGGGCTGCACCAGCTCCTCTCCGCGTTCGGCGTCGGGCTCGCGCTCGGGCCGGAGGACCCCGTGAGCGCGCAGGTCGTGCGCCGCGCGAACGACGCCAACTTTGCGATGCTCACGAAGGACGCGTTTCCGAGGTTGAGGGCGGTGCGCGCGCTGAGCAGGACGCTGTTGAGGGAGCTGAACAGGGCGGACGGTCCGGCGGAGGAGTGTTATCCGCGCTGGGAGGCGTGGTGGAGGCAGTGCGACCGGCAGGGGATACGGTTGGAGGATTGTACGGGTGCGGAGCTCGGGACACTGCCGGAGACGGAGGGGGAGTCGGACGTGAGCGATGACGGGTCGGAGGCGGAGGAGAGTGAGGAGGAGGAGGAGGATGCCGATGGGGAGATGAGGCCGTCGAACGTGTGGGAGCTGAGGCAGCTGTTGGAGGAGTGTAGGAGGATGAACGCGACGAGGGAGGCACCCATGCCAATGCCGCTGGACTTCCTTCAGAGCCAGATATGAAATTCGATTAGTGCTATCCCAGTCTCTCGCTTTGTCGTCGCGCTTTTCGTATTGCAATTCATCGCATCGTCTCCTCGCGCTGGTCACTCGCAGAATATGTTACCATGAAATCGCACGTCTATAATGAACGAAGTACAACATTGTTTGTTCTTATACCATACATCTGCTGCTTCTTCCATCGTTTCTTTTCGTCCCCGCAGAGCACTTTACTCCTGGCGGTGTTTCTGGTAATAGTGGATGAGGCCGGTCGTCTGCGAAAACGAGAATCCATCGATGAGCGAAGAGACCTTCCAGTCTACACAGACGAAGACGACAAAAAAAAAGAACGCACCGAGCTGTCGTGGCCGGTCACGTCCTCGGGCTTGCCGAGCTGCGCGAGGATGTTCTTCGCGAGCACCTTGCCGAGCTCGACGCCCATCTGGTCGAACGAGTTGATGCCCCAGATCGCGCCCTGCGTGAAGATCTTGTGCTCGTAGAGCACGATCAGCGCGCCGAGCGTCTTGGGCGTCAGCTTCGGGAACAGGATCGAGTTGCTCGGCCGGTTGCCCTCGAACACCTTGCTCTTCACCAGCGCCTCGCTCGCGTTCGGCCCGAGCTCTTTCCGGACGTCTTCCTCGGTCTTGCCAAAGGCGAGCGCCTCCGGCTGCGCGAAGAAGTTGGAGAGGAGGATGCGGTGGTGTTTGGAGGATTCGATCGGGTTGAGCGTCGTCGCCGGCGCGAGGAAGTCGGCGGGGATGAGCTTGGTGCCTTGGTGCACGAGCTGGTAGAAGGAGTGCTGGCCGTTCGTGCCCGCCGCGCCCCAGATGATAGGCTGTCCAGAGGCGCGTCGAGTCAGATCGAGGGAAGGAAGAAGGAAAGTAGGAAGGAGACGTACGCCGGTCTGGTAGTTGACGCGCTGGCCGCCCTTGGTGACGAATTTGCCGTTGGACTCCATGTCGCCCTGCTGGAAGTAGTCCGCGAACTTGTGGAGGTATTGGTCGTAGGGGAGCAGCGCGTGGGTCTGGGCACCTACGAAAGCACGTCCGAAACGTCAGAAGCACGTCCGGGAAAGCAAGGACTCGTAAGGGTCACGCACCGTAGAAGTCGTTGTACCATATCCCGATCAGCGCGAGCAGCACCGGCAGGTTCTCCTCCAGCGGCGCCGTCTTGAAGTGCTGGTCCATCCCGTTCGCACCCTTGAGCAGCTCCTCAAAGTTGTCGTACCCGATCACGAGCGCGATCGACAGCCCGATCGCGCTCCAGAGGCTGTACCTGCCCCCGACCCAGTCCCAGAACTGGAACATGTTCTCCTCCGCGATCCCGAACGCGGTCACCGCCTTCGTGTTCGTGCTGAGCGCGACAAAGTGTTTCGCGACGTGGGCCTTGTCCCCGCCCGCGGCGGCGAGGAACCACGCGCGGGCGGACTCGGCGTTGGTGATCGTCTCCTGGGTGGTGAACGTCTTCGAGGCGATGATGAACAGCGTCGTCTCCGGGTCGCACAGGCGGAGCGTCTCGGCGAGGTGGGTGCCGTCGATGTTGGACACGAAGTGCGCGGCGAGGTCCCGCTTCGAGTACGCCTTGAGCGCCTCGGTGACCATCACCGGGCCGAGGTCGGACCCGCCGATGCCGATGTTGACGATCGTGTGGATCGGCTTGCCGGTGTAGCCCTTCCACGCGCCAGAACGGACGGCGTCGGTGAACTGCTTGATGTGCGCGCGCACGCCCGCGACCTCGTCCACGCCCGGCTCGGGGATCGACGTGAGCGCGTCGCCGAAGGCGCGCAGCGCGATGTGGAGCACCGCGCGGTCCTCGGAGGTGTTGATGTGCTCGCCGGCGAACATCTTGTCGCGGAAGGTCTCCACCTGGGCCTCGCGCGCGAGGGAGAGCAAGGTGGAGAGGATCTCGGGCGTGATGAGGTTCTTGGAGTAGTCGAGGAGGAAGGTCACGGAGGGGTCGGAGGGGTCGACGTATTCCTTGGAGAACTTGGAGAAGCGGGCGGGGTCGGCGGCGAAGAGGTCCTTGAGGACGAGCTTGGAGTGCTCGGCATCGTAGATCTGCTGCAGCTTCTGCCACGACGGATACTCTGCGAGGGAATAGATCGCGCGAGATCAACGACAATATTCAGAACGTATACGCGACAGACGCACCAGACGCTAGTTTGCCGCTCATGGTCGCTGTTGGAATGGATTACCGGGCGAAATCGCGGTCGGTGGTTGCAATCGCATCGCTGACGCACCGGGCCGATCTTATAGCTGTCGTCAACCTGTGATCGTGGGAATTTCCTATCCCCGGTAGAGCCCACCGCCTTGGACCGGCCGCGAACCTTGGGATCAGGGTTACCTGCCGAAAGCGCGATGAGAAGTTTGCTGAGAAAGGAGACGGAAACGGTTGTGCGTACCGTGGTTGTGGAACGTGCGGACGCGGAAGGTGAGTGTGTCAGAAACTCAGGTGACGGAGGAATCCATCTCCCAGCCTGGCCGAGTCGCGTAACCACGTTCGATGGGGATCAAAGGGCGCCGACGTGATAGGCTGGAGAAATAGAGGATCTTGTTGATTGCCCGTTGATAGGTGGCATTGGCCGTTGCTGACAAGAGCAACACGGAACATATGTGCAGGGATTGACGAAGCAGTCGAGGCGTTCTCAGCGTGGTTGGTCATTCGGCAAGCGCCAACGGGTTTTTCGTATTATTCCAAAACTAGTTCCCTTACATAGGAGGCGCATACGTCGTCGGCCTCGACAGAATAAAGGATGCTCGACGAACAGAGAGGTTGAAACCAGAACGAACCTCCGCCCCTATCCTGGAACGCGATGCGGTCATGTGACTCATATGCGATTAACGCCGCGCTTCTGCCAGTGCTTGAGCTTGAGCCTCGAAGGCGACTGTATGCACTTTGCCTTCCACCACATCCTTCATGCGGCGTAGACCCCTAATGCCGCTGGCGACAAGATGAACGACGACGGCTGGACCTTTAACCTGCGCTCTTGTCTTGCTGATGCTGATGACTCGGATGCCGATGGCGAGGACACTGTACCAGCCCCTTCTGACGACCTCGATCTCTCTGCTCGTCCCGACAATGCCGCATACAAGCCCACGCCATGGTCTATAGCCAAGATAAACGCCGCTACTCGTGCTATGAAGCCACCAGAGGAAAGCCCTGCTCTCGACTCTACGTCCAAGGATGTCACGGCTGCCTCGGACCGAGCCGTCAACGTCGAGCCGAACAGCAAGAACGCCGCTTTAGACACGAACCTCTCGTCCCTTCCCGTCTCTCGCCCTCGTCCCGCCGCCTCCGCCGCAGCTCCCATTCGCTGCGAACCGCGCCGCTACCCTCGCCCCAAACCCGCCCCCGCCATCGACAGATCCCAAACGACGCTCCGCGACGCGTTCAAGGTCCAAGCCGCCCGCCCGCCTACCTCCAAAGACCCGCTCAAGCCCGGCGAGGTGATGGGCCAAAAGATCACCGCGACGCCGCTCCCGCTCGTCAAGGGCCAGGGCGCGCGCACGATGCTCGCCGGCAGCTTCCTCGCGCCCGCGATGAAGGAAGGTAAGGTGCATATACCCCCGCAGAAGAAGCCGGTATGTCCTCGCTTTTGCTTGTACGACGTGGGCTTGGGCCGTGATCGCGCCATAGCCGGGTCCGCGGCCGTCTGCGCAACTCAATCCACCCGCATATACGCGCTCGAAGTACGAGCCCCGGTCGACACAGAAGCATACATCCAACCGTCTTCCCAATCCCGGACGGGCTGCTTCCCCTGGACCTCGATCTGACTCTGAATCCACTCCGTCGACCGTCTCTCAGGATGTGACTTCTTCTGTCGAGGGTGGAGACGCGCATATCCTTCCAGGCAGGCAGCTCGGACATGGACGCAGCCCGTCTTCTGCTCTGGACTCTGGTGCCCCTGCATATATGCGCTCGAAGCACGAATATCGGCCGAGTGAGGCGCCCACGTCGACCCCTATCGGCGGCTTTCCTTCTGGACCTCAACGTAGCTTTGACTCTGCGGACTCGACTCTCTCTCGCACACCCGAATCAGCCGGCGGACCTCGAGGCCTGCATATACCCACCGCTCGCGAGGACGGACGACCGGCTGACGATTCGTCTCCCGTGCTTCACCCGGACGATCCAGATCTCGCGGACCTCCCCGACTTTGACTTGTATCTTGACGGCCTCGGAGTTCAACCCCAAACCAACCACGTCAGTTCCTCCTCGGACCAGCGTGTCTTATCCTCCGATTCTCTGCTTTCTCTTCCATCTCTCTCTCCTTTGGCTGGCCGCGCTCCTCAAGCTTTCTCTTCCGGTCCCGCTCGTTCTATGTCTTGTTCTCCCCTGTCTTCAAGCGCTCAAGGTATCTCTATGACTCGTGGAACACCTGGCGCTTCGCTTCGTCCGCTCGTCGCTTCTCGCTATCCAGACACTGCATCGCCCATCGCCTTTGGAGGCATCTCGTGGCCCGAGCAAAGAACTCTGGCTCCCTACTCGGCTGCGGATCCTGACGAAGAGGCTCACCACGTCCGGCAGTCCTTACCGACGCGACCAGCTCGAGTTCAACAACATCCAACGCAAGTGCCGTACCCGGCTCGTAGCGAACCAGCAAGGGCACCCAAGGGTCCGATGCCCGCTTGGCTTGCGTCTGCGCTCCCGGAGCCTCACACGTCCAGGTTCGGCGAAAGTGGCGTAGGCGGATACGGTGCTGATCATAACGCACCCGTCGACGAGTAAGCCGCACGTTGGTCTCGTCATCCGCGCTGATGGGACACGGTTAGGTACGGTATGGATGTGGATGATGCTGAAATGTACACCGGCTCTGGGGTGGACGACGACGAGACTATGGACGTATATCATGACGGTACGCTCCGTTTTGTATTCAAAATCCATAGGCGCGCTCACATGATTCTCCCCAAGCTCCGTCCGGGCTCGTCACCGCATACCATCGCCACCCTCACGCACGATATCAAGGCCATCCAGAAAACCAAGAATACGAAGCCGACGAGTACGGCCAATACCGTGCCCACGACAAGTTCGAGGGACGCGACGACCACGAAACGTACGAAGACGTGCCGTCCAGCCCGACGATGGTCAACTCGTCGCCCCCGCCCGCCCGCCCGCGCAAGATCTTCGCGTCGCCGTTCGGCAGTTCGCCCCCGCGTCCGCGCCCGGTCCAGCGCCTCCCGCCTCGCCCGCGCCCCGACCTTCCGCCCCCGTCGACGCCGCCTCCGCGCCCGGGTCCGCGGCAGCCGCGGCCCGTAGACCGTCCTCGAGACGCGTACGCGTTTGGCGCGGACGACGCCGATGTGGACGCGGAGTGGACGACGCTGCCGTCGCGCAAGAAGGCGCGCGCGTCGAAACCTACCCCTGGCGGCGGCGGTAGCGGCGGCGGCGGCGGGATCAGGCAGAGCGGAAAGTTCAAGTTGAAGGTTCCGTTCGGCGGGGGTGGAGGGGGTAATAAGTTGATACCGGATGTGGATGCGAAGAGGGATGGACAGGGAACGGGTGGAAGTGGTAGTGGAAACACGGGAAGGAGGGTGGTAGTGTACGTTCCTCCGCCGAGGGTATTGTCCTCCTAGCACCGGTGTAAGCTTATCAAGTATCGAATGAGTGTTTTAAGAATTGATTACTGGGCCGGTTTGGGGACGATTCGTCGAATCAGCAAGTTATGATGGCTAACCAGTTTTACGGTGATCAATCATGAATCTCTACGTGCACCTCGAGTTCTGGTATTCGTTCTCTAAACGGGGTAAGATGCTCTTCCGCGACGGATTTAATGCGGAGCATGCAGAGTTCCATGTCCATGTGATAACCCCATTTGGGATCCCCGGAATAATCGTCCTCAATCCTGGCGGCGATCCGAGTCAACCGGACGACCTCCGAAAGCCGTACGAGCGACTGGGCCAAGCGTTCCCAACCGTCTTCGTCGTCCTGCCTCGGCGTAAGCGTGTGCACGAGGAACATAATCTCGAATCGGACGATCGTCGAGACCGAAGCGGTCTCCGCCGCCCTCTGCAGATCCGCGATATCGAGTGCGGCCGTGCGTAGGGAGCTCCGCATGCCGACCTCGATGGTGGCGCAGATTGATCTCAAGTCTGGGTTGCGCGAAAGGTCCAAGATCTCTGACGATCACAAAAACATTAAGCTCTATTGCCGGTCGCGTCTGGAAACCAATATATACGTACCCCTTGGCCGCCCCGTTCCATCGCCGGGCGCACGGAATTGCGCGAAGGACAGGTGTAGAGCACGGAGATTAGGACAGAGGCGCGTCAGTCTGCTGAAAGCGGCCACTTCGTCACGCCGTAGGAACAGCTGCGACCAATACAGACGCGAGGGACGGAGGGATCCGATGGAGCACAGGTGCGATAGGACGTCGAAGATCGGCGCGAGACCCGGACGATGGTTCTTATGTTCCATATGAATGTCGCTGATGTCGAGGACGGGAGCGTTGCGGGGATAAACAAAGTCGGCCTCGTGCCAGTCATTCGGAGTTGACACGTCCATGCCAATGCGGATTCGACGAAGTTGTGGTAGAGACGTGAGGGTGTGAAGAAGGGAGATGGGCGACAGCTGACCGTCCTCGAAGGCAAGACTTTCTAACCGAGGACAAGAAGAGGACAGATATCGGGCCAGGAGGGAAGGATCCTGTCCCCCGTATGTATATCCTGAGCCATTCGAATCCGTGAGTCGTACCGCGACTTCCTTGACGCGAGGGAAGTAGATAATAGATGGCTCCGCCTGTCTCGCGGCCAGACTGGCCAACATCCAGACTTTGGTGACATATTGCAAGATGTAGGGCGACGAGTCGACGATGTCGCTGAGCAATTTCCGACGCTCGTCGGAGAGTAAAGACACTTCACGAAAGAGGTGGTGTTGGCATGAGCTACGCCAGGCCCGACAGGTCAACGAGCAGGCACGAAGTGCGTCCCTATCGTGATGTAGGGCTTCAGATATGTGGTCCCATAGCTCTTGAAGCAGCGATTTTGAGGAGGTCATAGCGGGAAGGAAGTCGTGCAGGGCGCTTTGTGGCTGATAATATCACCAGATCGTGTTGAAATCGCGCCGCTCGGCATATCCGGTGCTACGCCAACGACATCTCGGCAGCTCTGAGCTGGGACCTGGACGCAGTTCACCTTGCACTGAGAGCACGAATACCGGCCAAGTGGGGGGCAAACGTCCACTCCTCATGCAGCTCTCGTTCCGGATCACACCATGGCTTGTGTTTTGCGGACCTGACTTTCTCTAGCACTCTGAATATACTTGTGGACCTCGAGGCGCGCATATACTCGCGAGGACGGACAAACAGCGGATGACGATTCTCATAAAGATAGCTTGTCTTCCGCGCTTCACCCGGACGACCTTCAACTAGCCTTGACCTGTATCTGTGCGCGCTCGGAGACCGACCCCATTAGAAGTGAAAAAAAAAAAACCCCTTCGGATCGCCTGAAACCGTAATGAACTCCAGTTCCTCATCGTAAAGCCAAGAAAGAGTAATTGCGATTTTGGGTGGTTCGATAGATCCAAGAACCACGGGTTACCTGGCGGTCGCATTGTAAGTACCTGAAAGGAAACATCATGCCTCATGGACATCACAAAATCACGGATGGTGTCCAACGCAGACGACAGACACTCATTCGTGTTATGGGAACATCGCATAGCCGCTTCGGCGTCGTCTGTCCTGGTACAACCAGCGCTGCATCGATATCAATGATCGCCAGCTTTGCCTTCGGGCGTCCTCGTCTTGAATGCGCCGCGGCGACGGACGTCCAGCACGATTGCCTCCGCCCTCCGATACGCGTCCTCCTCGTCCCCTTCCCTCTGTCGGCCTGGATCGAGGGACCCCGTGAGCAAGGTACGAACAAAAGTACCAGCGCGATAGACGAGCTTACCGACAATCGACCAGTTCCGCGTGCTCGGGATGCGCAGCATCTCGCACTCGACGTGCCACCCGCACCGTCTGCTGAGGCGCGCGAGCCAGGTGCGGTACGCCGCGTACGCCGAGTTTTCAGAGCCGATGCCGAGGTTCAGCCTGGCCAGAAAGTCGGATTCGTCGGCCTCGAGAGATGCGGCTGGTTCGGAGTCGTCCGAGGCGTGCTCTGACGAGGAGGGCTCCGGGAACGGCGCGGCTGCGTTACGCTGGAAGCGCTCGTCGAACGACCACGGGCAGCATGGGATGGAGAGGTACCCTGACGCATGGTGCAGCGTGGCGAGGACGGGGACCCAGGGCGTGAGCTCGTCAGCGTGATTCCCGATGATGAAGGTGCCAGGTCGCAAATACGGATCTTCGTCCACGTTTTCAGGATTGTCTTTGGAGATCGTCGAGGAGGATAGGCTTGGGTGAGGTGACGAGGAAGTCGGTGAGGGGGGCAACTTCGTAGGGTCCAGAGCGTGAACGCGGAGCGCGGCTTGAGTGGAGGCCGGGTAGTGCGCCCAGGACTGTCGTGCACGAACGTCGATGCCATAGCCGGCATATCCTTCGGATGTCAAGATGTGCACGAGGAGGCCGTTTCCGCACCTGTGGGGGGGCGACGTGAGCAGAGGTAAGCAAGGAGGTGGATGCTGGCGCGTACCCGAGATCAACGAATCCACCAGGCGGTCGTCCCCAGCTCCGCCATGGGGTATCGCCGGTCGCGACTGGAAGATCCTCCGGGGATGGAGGAAACATCTCCTTCCAGAGCAGCATCAGGAACGTCGCGATTCCGATGTCCTACGTGAAGATAGTAGTCAGAGACTGCGAGGCAGAGATAGGGTGAAAGGTGGGCGTACAAGCTCGCGCCGACTTACTTCGAACACGTGCTTGCGCGGGTCCGTCTTCTCCTGCCAGGTCCCGACGAGGTGCTTATGTCGCTCGCGCATTACGAGGTACAGATCCTGGTACGTCTCGCGCTGGAGGACATTGTCGTGCGCTACCCGCTTCTGGTAGTTGGTAAGCGCGCCCCAGCCATAGCGGTGGACGGTCTCGAGAAGGGCGAGCGCAGTACGGTATAGGCGCGAGGATGGGTCGGTTGGCGTATCTGGGAGCGGCAGTACGTCGATGCGAAGGGTGTTCTCTGAGCTTGTAGGGGAGGTGACGTAGCGGAAGGCAAGGTGATGGACAGCGGGATGGTAGTAGGGTAACTCTTCGCCTGGCTTGACGAGAGGGGTGAGGACGAGGGTATGGGGAATCGGGTCTTCGGCATTCACGGATGCAAACAGGGTGCAAATCTGTTCAAGTCCGGAATCTCGCCCAGGTCGGCGAGGCAGTAGGCGGCGATGAACTTGGCGTGTTGGTCGCGATCCTTCGAAGATGGGCGCCGCGCCCGCGAAGGCTGCGCTTTCCGTCGAGTCTGAGATCGTTTCTGATCGAAGGATCAGTGTTGAGTTGTATTCCGGATGATGAATCAGCTGGAGAGCTGCTGGTTCGAACTACTATAGATCAGATGAGACGGGAGTAAACATAGACATGAACGCGATAAAACTGAATGCACCAGATGAGGCGGAAAACTTGCGTTGCACCGTATTAGCGAGACCCAACCACACGGGAGGGACGCCTCCTGTTCAGCCTGGCCGCCGGTAAGCGTAGGATTGAATTTGGGACGCAACGCTGAGTTCATGGTGCGAGTTCGGGCAGAGCAAGCCAGTCCGTGTTAGGTAATCACGATCCTTGCCATGATGGGCTCTCGAGTCTCTGCTGATCGTTTGCGAGAATTTGGGCCTCTTACTCGCAGTATCAATTGCATCAAACTGGGAATACGCGGCGCGCGCTCATTTTGCGTCTCCAGTGCACGTTAGTGATGTGATGAGACCGAACTTGGCATGTATAGCACCTGAGGAAGGGTACACTGGCATGTTCATGTCTCTCTGCGGACGCATCGCAAAGCAATGGACTGAGTTTGATCCTGACCACATGGGCGGTGGTAAAGCGTGAACTCGGAAGTACTATGCCATGCCTGACCTTTTTCAACTCACGAAAATTGTGGATCTGTCAGTGTGCGTAGGGGTAGCAAGTTATTCGTTATACACAGGGACCTACCCACGCAAGCATCATGCATCGTAAGCTCGCCTATACAACTACGTGCGTCGTATCTCTGATTTATCTGCAGCTGGAGCTGTTATCACCTCCGGCAGGAACGCCAATCTGGTCAAGGATCAGCCTTCGTGTGGGTGAGCATGCTGTGGACGCCACCGTTGTTGTGACGTCGCCTTTGGCCACGCAATTCCTGAATATGACCTCTTGTGCGCGGGCTCATTCATTCATTTTCACAGAACAAAAATACTCGCTCCACCCAGCGCTGATGCTACGCAAGTGCTATCATGGACACATGCCTGTTCAAGCCCTCACCTATCACCCTGATAGTCTCCTTGTCCCCGGCAGGTCCCCGCACTACTCCCGTCATCGACACTTCGATTCTGTCCTGCGATGAATGCGACCCAAGCTAATGAACTCTTTACGGCTGATTTCAGTTCCCTCACACCTCTCTTGGTCACCGAGACATTTGCGTTCGGTGAGCCGGTTATCCACACGCGTTGCATTTTGCCGACACGTCCAATCCAGGCGTTACTAGCACGTCGGCTTTGTTAGCGGGTTATTGGGTGCTGTAATCAATGTCAGTTTGAGGGCAGTTATGTACGCTGACACCGTATTCCTGACAGGTTCCTTCAACCTCTCCATGCCATTCAAAAATCGCGGTTATTACTTGTGGCCGGACTTTACGGCCTCCTCGTCCTGCATTGGGCACTCTACTTTCGTAGTTACACACGCATTTTTGAAACACTGCGAGTTCATTATTTCCCTCAGAGTATCCCCATATTCATTGTTGCATCAGGGCCGCGAAGACGGCCGACATACCAACCACGGATTTCGCCTTGGTTGCTGGGTACTTCCAGGCCTCTTTCGGTGTAATAACTTTCCCCTTCATTACCGAAACTGTGCTCTTTGGTGGGTAGCATTTAACCCGCGACGTTGACACGGGTATAACAATCTCCCATATAGGCACTTCGGCAACACTTTTCGGATTGCTAGGCTTCTTGTCTCGTCGGTAAGCTGCGTATGATTCACCACGAGGTTCCTTCCCAACTGACAGTGGATAGGTACTCGAACACGAGATACGGAACCCCAAGCAATCGTGTTATGTGGATCACAATATTTATCATGTTTTTAGCATGCGTGATACACTGGTCCACCAATCTGTGGACATGCATTTCATTCCTTCAGCATTATGGCAGTGAAACGGATTTGGTACCGAACTGGTACGTATCCGCAGAGATCATCATGATCACCATCAATGTAAGTGCCCATATAGACCCCTTGTGCTCGGACTCACCTTCATGATATGCTCAGGTTACACTGAGTGATGCTGTAGTCCTATGGCGGATGTGGATCATCTGGGACAGGAAACCAAGAATGCTGGTGTTATCAACCGTTTTGCTCTCTCTGACGCTAGGTATGTTATGGGCATCTATGTAATTTCAACTTCCTATGATTTCTGTCACTCAGGGACATCCATTGCGAACATTGCACTCCTTTCCCGTTCATCTGTTCCTACCAGAGTGGATGACGAACAGCTGCTTCCTACTTTTGACTACAACACTCTTGGGTTGATAGCCAGCTTCTCCTCTACCGCATCAAACTTTATTGCTACAGGCTTCATCGCATACAAGGGATGGTCCGTGGTCTTTGTTCTCATGATCTCATGATACGTTGATTGACAATGCTCTGATTTCCAATTGCCAGGAAACATCGTAAAACCATCTCAGCCGTTCTCAGCTCCGGATCACGCCGGTCTCTGGTGGAGAAAACGATGAGCATCCTGATGGAGTCGGGCGCTATATATTGCTGTTTTTGGGCACGCATTCCGGCATACGGGATCAACTCTCTTTTTTTCTGATATCGCCTTCTCAAGGTTGTGTGGGCTGTCAGCGGAACAATAAACCGTTTCGTCCCGGAGAATGTACGGCGGACACAAGAGCTCGTAAGTCACCTGGATGCATCAATGGTGCAAATTATGGTGAGAACTTCGTTTTCTCCCTTCGAGCATGGCACCAAGTAAACCAATGCCGTTGAAACAGGCCATCTATCCCATGTTGATCCTGATACTCGTCGCATTGGAGCGTACGCATAGCGACCAGGGATTTATCGGCAGCGCACCCGCAAACACGGCCGATACCCCGGTCCGCGTCGTTCATGTGGCGGTAGACGTGGCGGGGGGTCGTGGGTTTGACCGCGACAGTGTAGGTCTAGAGTATGAAAAGGATTCAGAACTCGGAAAATGACGGTCATTCCTAGTGTACATGTAGGAAGCTGTGCACCGTTTATAGCTTTAACAGTATCTGCAATGCGCTTTTATATACTATCTATGTAGTACTGAAAGGAATGAAGTCGAGAAAATGCGCCTGTGGAGGAACTTCAGGTGTATATTACCGACCGGCCGTGTGGCTAGCACGTGCAACTGCAGATTCCCAGAATCATCTATCTCCATTCATATCACTCCCTCGTGCACAGACTCTGAAGGGCGGGAAAACATGGGTATTCAATGGGCCATATAAGGTGCGTCTTTGTAAATTAAGAATACAACATTGAGCATAGTCATCGTCTTGAGATTATGAGCGACTAGAGTGTAATATTGTTACTCCAATTAAAATATTATGTGTCGCCGATGGCTGAGGACAATTGCACGCATTTGATACGATCATTCAATCTTCAAGATCCACCGCACATGTGACGAGGCAGTATGATGTGGAGCGCTTCGGTGCGCCTCTTCCGTCGTTGAGATCGATATGGCCCCTTACGCAATCTCTCCACTGAGGATTCTTGATCTTGTCGCCTTGAAGCGCACACATTGTGATCGCGGCTTCATGCTTAGCACACAAGACAGGGTCGCTCGAAGACGAACGGATTTGAACAACGTCAGTCAAATCGCTAGAGATCACGCAGAGAAGTGTGGAATAAGAATGGGTGCAGTCAATTCAGAATACACCGAGTCAAACACGACTAGCACGTGCTCGAGGAGAAATATAAATGATGGGTTGAATGTGCGACGATGCAAACGACGCGACGCGGTCAGATGGATAATATAGCTTCAGACTATGGATATGATCGGATTCATAGCCCCCGGACAACACAGTGTCGGAACCATCGGCATAGTATGCAGCATTCCCACAGTATACTCTACACTGAAGGTATATCGTTTACGGCATCCCGTCAGGTATGAACAGCATAACCAAGGAGGGGAAATGTGGCTCATGAATGTAGCTGTGCAGTATCTGAGCATGCATCCTGGGTATTCAAGAGCGTGTCCAAGACAATCTATGATATTCAGTCGGGTTCCATCAAGCATGGAAAATGATCGTAGCCACGCGCCGGTGTTCCCGAGCCACTCCGTCTATCACCCTACATCCCGGATTTCACATCTTCCTGAGCGAGCTGTCTCCGGCGATACTGCCATGCGCGAACACACTGCCTCGTATACTCCACGACCCTTGGAGCATTGATAGCAGCAATGAGTCATCGCGAAGAAAGGACAAACAGGCTTGCCCCATCGGCACACCACGAGCACATGCTTGCACAACACCATCTTGTATTGCCACTTGTACTCCTCGATGATGGGCTTGTGCTACTAGGGCATGACGAGGCATAGGTTCTCTCTCCAATTATGGACATCAAACTTACCGGTATGTTGCATGAACCTTCTCCATTTCCACTTTTGCCGATGCACTGTGCTTCTCAGTAAGGCAGTGACACCGCATTTCCGCTTCTGTTTGATTGAGCTGGAAAGTTCACTAGGGTTAGCTAGCGATATATCCAATATCATGTATGGTTCGCTTACTGCCATCGCTTGGGATATATGAGGCACAGCAGCGGAAGACTGGCGAGCTTTGCCCTTCTCGCCTACAAGCTGCAATCCACTACTATGTCATTCACGAACGGCGGGATACACGCTGTATCTCGAGATGAATCTGTCTATAAGTCTGCCTATGACTATCTTGTACCTCTGTTGATTGTTGAGACATTCGCCTTTGGTAAGTAGTGAGGTGTACACTGCTTTCTATCTCATGCTTTGTGGTTAGGCATTTGCACTGTTTCCCTTCTAATCTTGGCATACTCCGTAACGTAGGAATCTGGATCATTACCTTACGTCTGACGTTTGGCTTAATATATAATTCTAGGTTCTTCAAGCAGCGGCGTTCCAGTCCCATATTGCAACTATCAGGCGCTATCGGATTCTATATGACATTCGCGCTTCACTGGGGTCTTTCTCTCCAGGGGTTCCGCAAGATATTTCATGGGATGTAAGCACGGAAAAGCCAAAAGTTATCACGCATTCTGATCCAGCACCAGAGCCGTTACGGAGTCATCAGATGTAGTCACGGATGCATCAATTCTGTTCGATGCGATGCTTCCTACTTACTTCCTTCCGTTCATCACAGAAACAGCACTCTTTGGTGAGCGTTTGATACAATGAAATATGTACTATGTGAGATAACCAAGCCCAATATTAATAGGTGTTTCAACGACATTGTTCGCATTCATGTGGTATCTGATCGTCCGGTATGTAGTAATCCAATTCAATACTGCATATAGCTGAATATCCTTACAGTCGATCTGGCTCGCCATTCGGGATATCTATCGTACACGGTAGTGCATGCGTCATGTACCTCGTGTCCGTTGCACACTGGGCCGTTGATCTCGCAGCATGCGTCATGATGTATCACTGGACAAAGTCTGGTGAGCCTACGCTGAGTACTCCGGGACGCTATATGAGGTGGTATAGAGATGGAGATCTCATACTCATTACATTCAATGTCTGTCTCAATATATATATCTGGAACACATACATAATTGACATCCATATTAGATCGTACTCAGCGATGCCATTGTGCTCTGGAGAATGTGGTTGATTTGGGGAAAGGGAGCTAGGGTCCTGATACTAGCAACTCTATGCCTGTCGTTGACCGCCGGTGAGCACATTTTTCAGCATAGGCTCATAGATAGGATTCACATAATTGAAAGGCCCCTCAATATCCAATGCCGCTACCCTACTACACTCCAATGAAGATGAAGATAGCGAGCTTCATAATTCTGCTGTTCTACCCACCTTCGGCTCAACCAGCGCAGGAATGATCACCTCTATTTCATCCACGGCATCTAACTTCACCGCAACGAGCGCTATTGCCTACAAGGCGTGGTACGCGCACCCTTAGGTCTGGCCGCAGGGATAACAAATCTTGATTGCAGGCAACATCGCAAACTGCTTGCCGATAGCCTTCGCTGTAATTCTCGAAAAACGATGGCGGAAAGAATCATGGTCATCATGGTGGAGTCTGGAGCGGTATATTTTGGCCTTTGGGTGGGTTCATACCCGTCCTCGGAACGTTTTCCGACTCCAATGCCCCAACAGATTCTATGGATAGTCACCGGCATTCATGGCGTAGCAGCATTCGACAAGAACTGGTCAGCTGTCGACCACATGAATACCGCGATGGCACAAGTGACTGTGACATCCTGACATCACTAGATCATAAGCATGCGCTACGCGACGCTGTACACCGATTATGGACATTTAACGTATTCCAGTGTATACAGGTTAGGGAATGATTACTTACATTTAGGGGCTTCACCTAGTAGTGTGCTTGACCCCGCTGATTAGTAGGCCTGAAATATGACCATGCTTGGCTTTCATCAATCAACACTTGATTTTGGTGTACGCTATTTTCAGCATGCTTGACTTCAAGCATCAGTGTGCATTACTAAGCGTGTGGTTACTCAGAGCATATGCTGATTAAACTGGCTGATTATTTCTTATCGTGCGTCACTCTTGAGTTATCAATTAGCATGCGTCAGTGAATGTTACTTATTAGTATGTACATGAATTCGCGAGTTTGAACAGTCCTTGTTGGTCTGGTGGATATCTTCTTACCGTGGGTTCCCATTGGCTTAGTGGTTAGCGTGCATTACAGTGAGTTATTCTCTTGGTCTAGTGATACCTTCTTACTGTGGTTTACCGTTGGGTTATCCGCAATGCATTACAGTAGCCTATCTAACGGGTCTAATGATCATTCTAATCGTGTAACCATTCATGTACCACAACTGTTATCGCGGACCATTCTTGCGCAGGAGCGGGATCGAACCCGAGGCGTGTGCAAAACCCAAGTGATCACATCAAGACGCGTTACCGCTCCACCATCGGAGCTAACTATGTCGCCACTCACGGCATTTTATAAACGCGTGTTCCTCCCAGCTGACGTCACTGCTTAATCAGACGCTCACATGACTCAAGGCCGCCAGCCAATCAGAATGACTTTTTGTCTTGTCTCGTGGGAAACATCCTTGCTTTAGTATAGAAGATTCGTCCGCCAGATAGTACGCTGACAATCTTGTGCAGTCCATTTACCCACTTGTGATTATCATCCTCGTTGCCCTTGAGCGCACGTATTGCGACCGCCCATTCCCGGTAATCATGTCCGGCACCCCTCCCACGACGACGACAGTTTCCACCTCCCGTGGTCATCACATCAATATAGACATCGCCGTCGAACGGGAAACTGAAGGCGGCGATGGAATGTCACAAGTGGCGTCTGATCCCAGCACCTCTGATTTGACAAGCAATGAAGCGGAGAAGATGGGGCGTTGATGGCTTATGGAATGGTTGCGACAATCACTACGTGGCTAACTTCCAGCTTTCACGATCGTAACAAAAGTAGCAGTATTCAGATCGAATTCCAAATACACGAGAGACCACTCAATGCAAGTTCGCCTTCCTTACTGTCTCAACAGCACCCTGATCGGATCCGGAACATCCGGCCTCTTCTCCCACTCAGTCATCCACCCCTTGCTCGCGCCCTTCTCATTGCCAATGTTCGGCTTCCCAAACACCGCCGTGACGTACCACACGTCGCCCTCGGTCGGCTCCACTGTGTCCAGTAAAGTCGGTAAGACAGCTCTCGCCCACATCAGGCTCGAGTTAGCGTCGGTCCGGATGACTTTTCCTTCCCTCTGCTTTCTGTTCCCCAGCTCGACGATCGCAGACGCACCCGCCCGCGAGTGCGCCCGCGCCTCGGGACCCTCTTGCCAGAATCCAAAACCACCTTCGACCGACTTGTCCACGGGATCGAGGTGTCGTCCGTCCGGGCGCTGGCCATAGATCGCCCAAGCGCCTTCGGCCGTCCATATCTTCCGCCCCGCCCGAACGCGATGTACACGCACGTGCCACAGCGGCGCGGCGGGCGTCGGCGGCACGAGCCACGTCTCGACCTCCACGTCCGCCCAGGGATACCACATCGACCTCAACCAGCCGCCGTCGTTCTCAAACCTGAACTCCTCCGTCTTCCGCCTCGCGCGCCACGTCTCGCCGTCGTCGTCGGAGAGAAGCAACGCGCTATCTCCAGCATGTTCCTCAAGCGTGCCGTCACCAACAGGGACGCTGTACGCGAACGCGGCGCTGTACGCAAACTTGCCGTACTTGGCCGCGCTCTGCTTGACTGGATAGCTGCATCGCTGCCCGCTCGAGAGCACGTACGTGTGCCCGCCGAGGTTGGTCGCGATATGGAGCGGCTTGTAGAGCGGTTTAACCGTCTCCCTCAACGCCGAGGGGAATGGCTCCTCCACGGATGACCAGAAAGGGTGAGTCTCCGGCAGCGCGAGCGAGACGAAGCTCTTGCAGCACCGGTGAGCGACCCGGGCGAGTTGTAGTTCTCGGTTAGGTTAAAGTTCGGGTAGGCATAACCGAGGGTAAGGGTGCTATCCGGATTGTAAGCACCAGGTTGCGCGGCTCAGTAACGGAGATCTCGAAGTTGAATCCCTCTGACGACGCCTCAGGTGAGGGGTGCGGGAAGTTCCACATCTGCGAAGGATAGAGCGCCCCTTCCTGACCGCCTTCCTCGATCCCCTCGCTTCACACGCATCGCCGGGAGGCTCACGCATCCACCTCGGCCATACATGAGCGCATTTTGACGACACCGTTGCACAGCTCAAAAGGTTCGCTCGACCTCTCTGAGGCCTCGAGTCGTTGATCGCAGGCGAAAAGACTGGTCTCGCGATGGCCCAGAGGGCGTTGTACAGTACGCGACGCGTCCGTATCACATTTTGCATTGCTGATCGTACTTATTATTCATCCGCGTTCGCGATCCAGTTCGCGCAACTCGTCCATCCGAGGCTATCCCAGACCGAGGGTCCCGAGCGATGCGAAGCATTCCGCCAACGTGCGCGTCAGTTCGTGCTCGATTTCGTCCACTATTTCGACGACGAAGGTACGCCCGTTTTGGTTTTTCTATTCCTCCAGACGATGCTTCCGCCCTCAGGTCGTGCAGTCGCCTTTGGCCGCTCGCTCGTATACCGCTTCGAGATGTCATCATTTTGGCCGCAACATCGGAACGAATTCGTAGCGGGTTCGCTGCGTATGGCGTGGTATGCTGGAAGGTCTTGACGAAGGAGGACATGGGAGGATGGGCAAGCACAGGGCAGTAGCGAGCATGGGTCGGCTGGCATATCCGGGAGTGGAACCGCTCTCATACGAAGGGCATTTTCTGAGTACTTAGGAGATGTGATGTAGCGGAAGGCGATGTGGTGGACGGCGGGGTGGTAGTAGGGCAACTCTTCGCCGGGCTTGACGAGAGGGGTGAGTACAAGGGTGTGAGGTACAGCGTCTTCGTGTACTCGGATGCAAAAAGGGTGCAAAGCTGCTCAAATCCGGAATCTCGCCCAGGTCGGCGAGGCAGTAGGCGGCGATGCGTGTTGGTCGCGATCCTTCGAAGATGGGCGCCGCGCCCGCGAAGGCCGCAGTCTCCGTCGAGTCTGAAATAGTTTCTGATCGTATGATCAGCGTCGAGTTGTATTATGGGTGATGGATGAGTTGCAGGGCGGCGGCTTCGAACTACCATAGATCAGATGAAATGAAGTAAACATAAAGATCATCGCGATGAGATGAACGCACCAGATGAGGCGGGAAACTGGCGTTGCTCTATACCAGCGAGGACCAACCGTACGGGAGGGCCATTTCCTGTTCATCTTGGCGGCAGGGCAGCGTAGCATCGAATTTGGGACGTGCAGCGGGGCTCATTGTGCGAGAGTGGCGGACGAGCACGCTCTCCTTATGTAATGATTGACCTGTGGGTTTTCGGCTTCGAGTTTCCTGTCCGTTCGCTGCCTCCGAGTTCTCAAGCTTGCATGCGATACAATACGTACGCGTGGTCGCTTACAGCCATAGCATACGATATTCTGCTGTAGCCTCCCGAGTGCATGCTCTTCTATCAGCGAGAGCTAAGGGATTGAGTGCTGCCAAGTATATTCGAACAAATACCTAGTTATTATTGAATTTGAGGCAGAGCAGATATTGAGCATGGCACACCGGGTACTGAAAGTTAATTACTCCATTCTTGAAGAAACTCTCCAGTCATCCAGTCTCAATATCGGTCGGATGGTGGACAAGTGGAACCGACGGATCCGAGGTTAAACTTCAAAGTCGTGTGGTTCGCCGTCCCAAACTCACGGGCACTGCGGTTCCATATCTCATTTTCTCGTTATAGGCTCATCCTAAGCCATAGAGGTCCTATCTACCCAACTACCGTCATAGATAGCAGATAGCAGAAATAGAAATAGTGCTGCTCAATTATCTGCTGTGCATCATGCATCGACATTGATGAGCGCTCTGTTACCATTCCATATTTTTGCGTGGTGTCATGCGGTATCCAAGTTGATGGAGTGCGCGGTATAAAGTGGCCTCTCTGTTTACCTCTTGAGTCGCTTCCACCTGCTCGCCCACCATGGCGTCTGTGTCTGTTAATTCCACACAAATCCATGACATGTTCGTGACGGAATGGAAATACCTTGCTGCTCCTTTCATCATTGAGACGTTTTCCTTCGGTGAGCTGTCGACTCAAGCTTTGCAGATGGTAGCGCTTACATACGCTTCCGTGAGGCGTCGCCATTACCTCAACTCTAACTTGGGGGTATTGGCTCCTGTGATTGACAAGCATCTACTTGGCCAGCACATGGGGTGACTTATGTTGGTCATAGGTTGCTCCAGTCTCGTCTGGCTATCCCAAAGCTTCAACTGGTTCTTGTAATGGGAGGATGCGGCCTTATTACTCTCCAGTGGGCACTGCATGTCCGAGCTTTCTACGGCATATTATACACATTGCATGTCTTGCATCACTCATGATATCTAATCTGATGTGACCATAGGGCTCTTGGTATCATGAAAACAGCCCCCCTCCCTAGCATGTTAGCGATAAGCCTCAATATACCTGGAGTTTATCTCCCATTCATCACCGAGACCGCATTATTTGGTGAGCGAATAGATATCAACGTGTGAAAATTCAATCAGCTCATGGAGAATATAGGATGTTCAACAACGCTGTTTGCACTGCTATGTTGTCTAAATCTTCGGTAACTGAGTGTCTTTCATCACATGGCTCCGATACTCAAACAGAAATGGTTCTAGCATGCGGTTAAGTGCCCCTAATAAACGTGCTGTCATCGTCATTGTATGCGCGATGTACGCGGTCTGTGTATCTCACTGGTCCTTCAATCTATGGACATGCATTGCCTGGTTCATCTACTACACGGATTTTGATGGGGCCGTCCCGTCATCTAAATCTTATATAGGTCTCATCATCATCACAATCAATGTATGTGCATTCATTTCTCCTGCTGCTGTTTAGCATTGATTGTTCATATAGGTCGTTATAAGCGATTCTGTCGTGTTGTGGCGCATGTGGATTATTTGGAATAGAAAGCGGAATATATTCATTCTATCGGTAATCTTGCTCTTCCTGACAATAGGTGAGCTGTTATGTGTGCTCGATGTCGAAAATATCGCGAATTAACTCTGTAACTGAGGATCATCCATCGCAAACATCGCTCTCACTCGAGCCTCTGGAGACACTCGTCATGGGGAATTCATAGCCCTTCCTACATTCAGCTATAATACATGGGGCCTGGTGACTAGTGCTTCGTCAACTGCGTCCAACATGATAGCTACCTGCTTGATTGCATATAAGGGATGGTTTGTATCCTCCATACTTCTATCTTGGTATATGGCCTGTTATTAATGCGTAACTACGTAGGAGGCATCGGGCAACGATTACCGCGAGTCTCAGGAATGGTACTCGTCGCACTCAGGCTGAGAGAACAATGAGTATTCTGGTTGAATCGGGCGCCATTTACTGTGTATTTTGGGCAAGTCCTCATAACTCTAATAATCCTGATGGATTTTTTTTCTCATCTAACACACTCGAAGATTGTTTGGGTTGCCATCTCGGTCCTAGAGACTCCCCGCCTCATTGATCATGTTGGTACCGCGATGGCGCAAATCACGGTGAGTCCTACCAAATGCACGTCTTTCAGTCAGCTGACACCTCCTGCTTAACAGGCAATCTATCCTCTGCTGATCTTGATCCTCGTCGCCTTGGAACGTACGCACTGCGATCGCAGTTTCATTGTCAGCAAGCTAGGCGCTGTGGCCCAAGGACCAGCCGTTGACGACCATATCATGCATATCGCCAGAGATACGGAAGCGGAATGTAACGATTGGGAAACTACCGATTCCAACAGAACCAGCACATGCGAAGAACCAAAACACGACGCTTGAGGTAGGGCACACCAAGGCCGGACAATGGCAGCTCGGTGATACAGTTTTGACGCGACCCGATAAGACCTACATGTATATTTGCGGACAGGACATTGACACAGTAGCATATCTACTTCGTGTACGTGGGTTAAATCAGATACCGTTAGCATTTGTCTCCCTCATTCAGCTCCATGCAGTTCATTGGGTACGGCAACACAACTCGTCCTCAGAGCAGGATCAAGCTTGAGCGGCTCAGATCGCCCCTACTTTCCTATCCAGATTTGGCGATTAATAACGAATCTACCCGGAATGCGCGCTACCTTACGACGCCTCTACCATGGCGGCGCTGCGAGTGTCGATAACACATGCTGCATCTGGAACTCGCAGTCCAGCCAGGAAGCTACCACAATGACATCAGCCATCGGCAGTCGTGTCCCTCCCTCAACTCCTCCGTGCTCCACCTCGATTTTTGTATCCTGTCCTCGTCGTCAGTAGGAGCGTCAATCTGTCGTGAGAATGTACAGAATTTTGTTATGCCATGGCGGTTCTCCGCAACGTGTCAGGAAAAGGCTCCTCTGAGAACCATGTCACAGCATCAGTAGCGAGCGAACGATGCTTCTTTGTCAAATCGAGATTCAAGTAGGCGTGGACGGGGGTGAGCATCTATGCGGGTCTTAGATGCTGGACTGCGCAGCCCAGTAGCGGAGGTCGCAATGTTGCACTCCCTTTACTACGGCCGTAGACGATGGGGGTGGGGGGCTCTGAAGGCCAATGAGCCCCGTTATGGGAACATTACGAAGCAGGATAGCAGAACTGATGAGCCCTGTGAGAACGATCGAAAGCAACAGCACGACCCAGAACATACATCAGTAATAACAGAGTCTGCATCGGTCGTACCTTTGTTCTCAGTATTTGAGACATATCTGGGAATGGCGGGCGCACTCAGCATCCAGTATCGTGAAGCCCTCCGCGTGATAACTTGAACCGGTGCCCGGAAGCAGTGAAGCGTGATAATGACGGTGACCCAGAACATGTAGCTCTGCGGGCTTTCCGATGACGAATGTGCCGAGGCGCAAGTGCACCGCTTCGCCTTCAGCCGAGAGAAGAGGATGGAAATGCCGTGGGGACCGAGGGGAGCTGGGGTCGAGGCCGGGGAGTACGCCCAGAGTCCTCGCGCGACGGATGTTGATTCTGTATCCGGTGTAGCCTGCAGGGGCAAGTACATGCACCAGTAGTCGTCTTCCTTACCTGTGTGTCGGAGTATCATTAAAGGAGGCAGTCCGAGGAGTGAATGGTAGAGCGCACCCTCAATCAACATGCCCACCGGGCGGTCGCTCCCAGCTTTGCCACGGGTATCGGTGGTAGACCATGGAGAGGCCCTGGGACGCGGGGAACATCTCCTTCAATAGCAGCACCAGGAATATCGCAACATCGATTCCCTAGATCAAGGGTTTAGTCATCTCCTGCGACGCAGAGATAGGGTGCGAAGAGGGCGTACAAGCCTGCACTGATTCACTTCGAACAAGTACTTGCGCGGGTCGGTCGTTTTCTGCCAGGTCATGACAAAATGCTTCTGTCGCTCGCGGATCACGAGTAGGTCTCGCGGGAGAGGAGGTTGTGCAATGGACGGTTACGAATAGGGCGAGCGCAGTGCGGTGTAGGCGTGAGGATGGGTCGGTTGGCGTGTCCGGGAGCACAGCACGTCGATGTGAAGAGTAGTTTACGAGCTTGTAGAAGAGGCGAGGTGATGGACGTCGGGCTGGTAGGAGCCTGAGGGCAACTCTTTGTCTGACTTGACGAGCGCAGTGAGTACGAGGGTATGGCGTGGTGCGTCTTCGATGTTCTTGGATGCAAAGCAGCACAAACCTGCTCGATTCGACCGTCCTAGCGAGGCCGGCGCGGCAGGAGGTTGGTCGCGATGTTGCGGATAAGTGCAGCGCGCGCAAATACTGTGGCCCCCGCCAAGACTGATATCGCTTCTGGTTGGAGCATCAACCTCGATTCGTATTCCGGGTGATCGATGAGTTGCAGAGTGCAAGGCTCGGACTGCGATGGATCGATAGTTCGGATGAGAGGGAAGGAAATTATTAATACCATCGCGACGCGTCTCGTGCGTGCCGTTACCGATGGGTACGCTATAAGGTAGCGCATCCTGCCCAGGGCCGCGAGACAATACATACCGATGGACATTGAATGTTGGTTGCGAGCCTTCGAAATGAGCGCGGCGCCACGAAGGCTGCCACTTCGGTTGGGTCTAAAATTTTCTAATCTGAGAATCAGCGTCGAGTGGTCGTCTGGATATGGAATATTTGCAGCACGGCGGAGTCGAACTACTACATATCGTATAAGATGGAAGTGAACATGGATGGCAGTACAACGCATGAGCGCACCAGAACGATACATCGTGCCAACCTAACCAGACGTAAGGGCCGTCTTCCGATCCGTTCGGATTCCCAATAGCGTAGAATCGAGTCTTGGACGCGGCGTTGCACTCATTGGGCAGAGTTACGAGCCTTCCTTCCTTATGTAATCATCTACATTTCCCGCTCTGCAGTGGCAGCGACTGGCTTCTAGCTTTTTTGGTTGACAATGCGTTATTCGATCCATCTCTTCCATGCTTCACAGCTGCCAGCATGCTCACTTTCTCGCTGGTTATGTTTCACCGTAATGGTACACTGTCTCCGTCATAGTGGGCACAGGTCTTCCCAATCTTACGAGTACCTAGATGTGGGCTGACTTATTTTCATAGCGATGCATGCGAAGAGGGGACATGGTTTGCTCATATCGTGGCATACAGAGAGGCTCGCTGCATGTAATCATTCATACTTCGAGCTTCATATCCATGTTATGGAGGGGAAGAAGTCGAGAATTTACGCTTGTGGAGTAACTTCGAATGTATATTACCAATCGGCCCTGTGACTCGTCCCGTGCAACTGAAACTTGGCAGCATGCACTGTCGAAAAGGGATGCGGATTCGGTGCATTTGCCGTTATCCTGCGATTGAGTTTTGGAGCCGGTTACCAAAATCATCGATCTCCGTTCATATTACCTGTTGTATAATCTGGTTCCATGCATAGACTCCGATGGGCGGGGGAAAATAGGTATTGGATTGGCCATATGAGGTGCGACTTTGTGAATGAAGAATACAACATGGAGCATACTCATCGCCCTGAGATTATGAGCGACTAGAATGTAACAGTCTTATCCCAATTAAAATACGATGTGTCACCGATAGCTGCGGACAATCGCCCGCATTTGATACGATCATTCAGGATCCACAGCACATGTGACGAGGCAGTATGATGTGGAGCGCGTCGGTGGGCCTCTGCCGTCGTTCGAATCTCTCTGGATGCAATTGGGGATCTCGCTACGCTTATGCCGGGGAATGCTCGAAGTCGCTGCGGATCTAGGAGACCTTTATAGAGGCAGGGTCCAACTCGATGTCAGGCCATCAAACTTTTTCTCCATCCAAATTGCAACGAGTGTGTCGTCAAGGCGGACATAAATCATGTCTTCCGATTACATTGGCGTCAGCCCAGCACCAGAAATAGTGTTTGCTGATGACTGGAACATCCTAACGGCCCCCTTGGCTGTCGAGACATTCGCTTTTGGTACGGGGCCTCCAAGATCGTATCCTTTATCACCAAGCTCATACCTAAACCAGGTGCTGCCGGTGTTGCAATCGTTTTGTGGACTTATTGGCTGGTGTAATCGAAGCATTCTCATGCACTGTACGGCTGAATGACATCAAGTGGATCACAGATTTATACAGCCTCGTAACGAAGTGCTCAAATCTCGGATTCTCCTTGTTTTTGGATTGTATGGATATCTGATTATCCACTGGGCCATGTCTCTCAGTGCTTACATCCGCGTTGTGTCAAGATTGCAAGTCTTTACATGTTTTTTCTCAAGAATCTCCTAATGTTTTTGTAGCGATCCGAGCCTGTCAAATAAACTTGCGCTCAGCCCCGTAGACTATGAAGCTCTCATTTACCTGATTACTCTTCCGTTCATTACCGAGACTGTCCTCTTGGGTGAGCATATAGCAGGAATATTGTTGCACATTACTGACAGTCATTTTAAATCCAGGGAGTGCAACCATGCTTTTTATCACACTGTCCTATTTTCTACTCAAGTAAGTAGGTGTGCAATTAACGGATATGTCACCTCATTAATACGCCGCAATAGGCGGGCAAAAATGCAACAATTTACCCACTCCAGTAACTTGGTGATCAGGATGGTTGTATGTGTAATGTATATAGCCAGCATTCTTCACTGGTACATCAACCTCCGCATGAGCCGTGTATGGATAGGTTCATTCAAGAGGCATTGGATTGTGACATTTTCAACAACGTGGTATGACGTCGCGGAGCTCTCCCTTGTTACCATCAACGTATGTGCCATCAGAATAAACGTTCGTATACTCACAATCATATATCAGATTACCCTCAGTGATTCCATCGTACTCTGGCGCATGTGGATCATTTGGGAGAAAAGGCGCTGGTCTATGATACTGTCGGTCGTGCTGATATCGCTGACAATGGGTAAGCTGACCAACATCGAAGTACGGTGTATATTTAATGACCACCACATCTTAGCGTTCTCTATTGCCAATGTCATCAGTAACACGCGAACCTCTCCCCTCCCTACCCTCGCTGTGCAGGTATTGCCAACATTCAGTTACAACATCTGGGGACTTGTGACCAGCTGCTCCTCCATGGCGAGTAATCTCATTGCTACTGGGCTTATAGCATACAAGGGATGGTCGGTTTGTCCATTAAGATTCTCGTCCATTGCGACTAAGGTTGCTCTCAGGAAGCATCGCAGGATGATCAAGCAAAGCCTGATAGAGGGTTCCACTCGTACTATTGCCGAGAGAGCCCTGAGTATTCTCATAGAGTCGGGTGCTTTCTACTGCTGCTTCTGGGTCAGTTAACAAGTTGCGAAGTGTGGATGTGTATGAATATGCTGACTCTATGCCGGCAGATTGTGTGGGTCACGGTCTCCATGTACAACGCTTTTTGTCCGCCGCACACGGGGTTCACCAACGTAACCTCCATGGAGCAGCTTGAGAGCAATATGGACACCGCTATGGCGCAGATTATGGTGATTGTCGTTCATTGCTACCCGGATACGGAGATTGATTGTGCTCAATAGGCAATCTATCCGATGCTGATATTAATCCTCGTTGCCCTAGAACGAACCAGTTGCAATCGCAATTTCAGCTCAGGCTCATCGATAGGAGTCGGAAGGGCTCAGATCACTCCTAACCAGGTCCTACATATTACCATTGGTGATACACCCGCTTCCGAGGGCAAGCACTGCGAAGGAGCCGGCGCAAGGGAGTGCGGACACACGGATACACTCTCAATCACAAGTACGGTCGGAGTGGACGACGAGGATCAACGTTAAAGCATGCTTCAGTGACACGCTAACCAGCTGGTTCAGTCAGATAACCTCTTTCGAAATGGTATGAGCTGCGTGTTATATACTGGACTATAACAATACGCTTCCCTGGTCACAACATGTGTAATATTATTGATAGCCATGAATAATGACGTATCATGTACAGTTGTGGTCTACGATTACGGGTCAGCGATGTCCACATGAGCAGCAGTGTGCAACCTCTCTGCAAAATTAGCTCTCCGTCGTGTAGTAGACAAACACCCGTTATTGTGGACTCATTAGGGGGCCTCAAAGTTGGCGATTACGGGCTGATTATGCGTCCGATTATGCGTCGATTCTGTGTCGATTCTGTGTCGATTCTCGTGTCGCTACACCGACATAATCCGACTCTCAACTTTGAACCCCCCGCTACATCCCCGGATTCTGTCTGGATTATGAACATGAATCTCCTCCTGCCGACTCGCCGGCATGTCCTTCTGAGCTTGAATACCGAGTTCGGCCGCACGGCCGAGCTGCGTTTGTGCCCAAGTCGAAGAATGAGCACCTCACCTAAGTCCCGAGGATATTCAGATACCTCTGGGTATACTGACGTTGACATTCCTGTCGGGTGAAGGAAAAATTGTATATTGTCTGGCTGAAACAATGACAGCAGTACTGAGTTACTATATGACCAGGTGCCTTTAGTGGCGACGAGGCGGATTCGACCATAATCCGCGACCATAATCGACTTTCGAATCCACTCCGTAATCTGTCCCATAATCGCCAACTTTGAGGCCCCCTATTGCTGTCTGACGTAACCCATCCCGCCCGCCCGCCTGAATACTCGTCTGTGATTCTGATTCGCCAATATCATGAACCGTAGATTCTCAAGGGTACTAATCCCATTCAACACTGTACATATGCAGTGATATGAATTCTCGTCACAGTAAAGCTCACTGAGGAATCAGCATTTCGATAGATTTCGGAACATCCGGCCTCTTCTCCCACTCAGTCATCCACCCCTTGCTCGCGCCCTTCTCATTGCCAATGTTCGGCTTCCCAAATACCGCCGTGACGTACCACACGTCGCCCTCGGTCGGCTCCACTGTGTCCAGTAAAGTCGGTAAGACAGCTCTCGCCCACATCAGACTCGAGTTAGCGTCGGTCCGGATGACTTTTCCTTCCCTCTGCTTTCTGTTCCCCAGCTCGACGATCGCAGACGCACCCGCCCGCGAGTGTGCCCGCGCCTCGGGACCCTCTTGCCAGAATCCAAAACCACCTTCGACCGACTTGTCCACGGGATCGAGGTGTCGTCCGTCCGGGCGTTGGCCATAGATCGCCCAAGCGCCTTCGGCCGTCCATACCTTCCGCCCCGCACGAACGCGATGTACACGCACGTGCCACAGCGGCGCGGCGGGCGTCGGCGGTATGAGCCACGTCTCGACCTCCACGTCCGACCAGGGATACCACATCGACCTCAACCAGCCGCCGTCGTTCTCAAACCTGAACTCCTCCGTCTTCCGCCTCGCGCGCCATGTCTCGCCGTCGTCGTCGGAGAGAAGCAACGCGCTATCTCCAGCATGTTCCTCAAGCGTGCCGTCACCAACAGGGACGCTGTACGCGAACGCGGTGCTGTATGCAAATTTGCCGTACTTGGCCGCGCTCTGCTTGACTGGATAGCTGCATCGCTGCCCGCTCGAGAGCACGTACGTGTGCCCGCCGAGGTTGGTCGCGATATGGAGCGGCTTGTAGAGCGGTTTAACCGTCTCCCTCAACGCCGAGGGGAACGGCTCCTCCGCAGATGACCAGAACGGGTGGCTCTCGGGCAGCGCGAGCGAGACGAAGCTCTTGCAGCACCAGTAAGGCGACCCGGGCGAGTTATAGTTCTCGGTCAGGTTGAGGTTCGGGTAGGCGTAGCCGAGAGTAAGGGTGCCATCCGGATTGTAAGCACCAGGTTGCGCGGCCCAGTAACGGAGGTTTCGGAGTTGAATCCCTTTGACGACGCCCCAGGTGAGGGGTGCGGGGAGTTCCACATCGGCGAAGGCGAGTGCGCCCCAGAATGATGACATCGCGAAGCGGTATACGAGCGAGCGGCCGAAGGCGACTGCACGACCTGAAGACGGAATCAACGCCTGGAAGAAAAGCGAGATCAAAACAGGCGTACCTTCTTCGTCGAAGTAATGGACGAAATCAAGGGCGAACTGACGCGCGCGTTGGCGGAATGCTTCGCATCGCTCGGGATCCTCGTTTTGGGCTAGCTTCGAATAGACGAGTTGCGCGAACTGGATCGCGAACGAGGACGAATAATAATCCAATCTGACAAGTATGGTCAGCGACGCAAATTGCGATATGGACGCGTCGCGTACTGTACAACGCCCTCTGGGCCATCCCGAGACCAACCGTCACCCACGTAAAAAGTATCGAGGTGGTCCATATCCTTCTTCGCTCGAGAGAGATCGCCATACTTCGAGCCATTCTTCGCGAGACCGAGATTGGCGAACACCTACGAGTCGATTATGATCAGCCTCACGCGCAGTGTCGATTGACAACTAGAACCGCACCCTGAACCACAGCCAGTTCGTATTCGGCATTTCTTTCGTGTTCATCACGTTCAACCACCGCCCTACGTTCTCCTTCGCCTCCTCGCTCAGCGGATCCCACATCTCCCTTCCCGCAACCGCCAGCGCGAACCCAATCGGCGAGCACTCGACCATCCTTTGATCGCGGTCGCGCATCTCTCCCCAATATTCCTCCCCATTCGGATCCGTCCCGCTCGCCAGTCCCCTCGCCCAGCGTTCCACGCCTGCATACGTCCCTCCACCTGCGATCAACGACGCGAGGCCCCAGAGAGGTCGAGCGAACCCTTCGAGCTGTGCGGCGGTCTCGTCGAAATGCGTTCCTGTATGGCCGAGGTGGATGCGTGAGCCTCCTGGCGATGTGTGTGACGCGAGGGGGTCGAGGAAGGCGGTCAGGAAGGCCGCGACATCGGAACGAGTTCGTAGCGGGTTCGCTGCGTATGGCGTGGTATGCTTGAAGGTCTCGACGAAGGAGGACATGGGTGGGTGGGTGCCGATCCGCGTTCGATGCGAGGTTTATCTATGTTCTCTACCCGTCTTGTTCACGAGGCTAGGCGTGCCCGGGCCGTCCAAACGCGATCTTTGTCCAGGAGGCGGGAGGCCGGCGAATCAGCACCATTCAGTCGCAAGCCCATGATATATGTGGTTACGGGAGAACGTCGGCAGGGCGTCATTGAGCATGGCGCAAAGGGGGGAGCGGATGCACCGGCCCGTTGAGCCGCAGACGACCACGTGCGTAGCTGTAGCCTTGCTAAGTTAGCTCGCGCAGATGCTGTTGTTGATTTCTGCTTCAGCATGCTACGTCCCGCTTCTCATTAACAAAGCTGCGAGGTCCATGCCATCCATGGTCATGGTATCAAAGATGAAGGGGATGTTTCATGGCAGATGGGTCGTTGTTGGCAGGGTACGAGTCCTGTGCGCGATTATATATAAATGAGCAGGTTACTTTGGGGACTATGTGATAGCGAAGGAATTGATACGCACTTCGACCAGATAAGGGACGTATCCGATGCCCAATCAGCCTTCATGAACGAAGCCGTACAGAAAACCTGGCGAGTTGACGCGGGAGTATGGGGCACTTGCACGAACGCGACGGGTGTGCTTGAACCAGCGCCGTAAAAGTTGAAGATAGCGGAGGACGCGTAGGATCGCTCGTACGCTCTCTTTTCACGTCCACGATATCTGTGATCTGGTCAGCAGGGCGAACCTAAAACAGTCTTTCACTCACCATCGTGTTGAGCCATCGTGCATCACAGAGACTGAAACCAAGTTGCTGCGCCGGTGCACATGCACACGACCGTTATCTAAACGAGCGAGCGGATCCCAGCGTCGTGGCATGGAGGAACGAGAGAAGGTGGCGTGGGACGACTCTTTCGAAAAACGAGGTGTCGCGCGCGGCTCGAAGTTCGTTCCATTGAAATGGACTTCATCGCGGCCTTTCTGCAGATGACCTTACCGAATCTACCAGGCTTATCGTGCTACTGTTATATTGCCCTGTCCCAAACTCAATCATGGCATAACACGGTTCAATCAATCTATCTTCGACGTCGTAGTTCTTCAATAGGATACATGAATTCTCTTGGGGGTTGAGGAGCGTTCATTGCGCGCTATCCGGAGGTGCCAAACTCTTAACAAAGCTATCGTTTGTATTCGTCACGGTATGCCCCGACGCTCCATTTCGTACCACCGGTGTTGATTGTGACCTGCCTGTCCTCCAGGACATCATGAGCGTGAAGAAAGAGCAAGATGTAGAGATTTTCGTAGAAGATTCCTCGCCCAGCAGTCTCGGCCGCGTCAACGCGAGTGGGCACTCAGATGAACTCACAAGGCACTACTACATCAAGAGCATCACGGGGACTGCCATCACCATTGACGCTGCATGGATTGCGATGTGAGCGCCATGTCAGCCATCATCTTCGGTTTTCTGACTTCGTGCTAGGGGAAGCTCGCTCGCTGTGGCTTCCGCTAATGGAGGACCTCCTGGAGTACGTCTACGAATGATACGCGGACATGTATACTAACGTTGCGCACAGATTCTCTATGAACTGCTTGTGTCGGCCTTCTATTATGCATTCATTAACGCGTCTCTCGCTGAGCTTGCGAGCTCGATCCCTTCTTCAGGCGGTGGTGAGCATCCAATTATCGTCGTACGGTGCGACTGATCTGAGTATGAGGTAGTTTATCATTACGCGTCGGTCACTGCAGGGCCCAGATATGGCCGTCCAGTTGGCTTCTTTGCGGGGATCGTCAACCTATTCGCTTGGTTATTCGGCGTCGCATCCTCAGTCATCATTAACTCCACCGTGGTCCTCGAGATATACGCGCTCTATCATCCTGAGTTCACGATCAAAGCCTGGCACATCTTCGTCACCTTCCTCATCCTGAACACAGCAACGTGCCTCGTCGTCATATATTGCAATCGTATCTTCCCGGCATTCCAGTCTTTCGGCGGGGTCGTCATGTTACTCACAGGCGTCATAACGATAATTGTCGTGACCACGATGGCCTCGGAGCATGCCAGCAACGCCTTTGTTTGGACTCAATGGTCCAACGTGACCGGATGGTAAGCCACGAGATATGTGTAGCATGCCAGGAAACTCGCTCATCTCTCACTTGTAGGCCGGATGGCATTGCTTTCATTGCTGGGATGCTCAACGGGGCTTTCACAATCGGAACGCCCGACTCTATCACTCACATGGCGGAGGAAATGCCAACGCCTCGCAAGGATCTCCCCAAAGCTATCGCCTTGCAGCTCATATTTGGGACAATCAGTCAGTGATAATAGTAAACACACCGAGTTTCACCCTTGAAGCTGAACTGGATGTTCCTAGCTGCGTTCATATTCGCTGTCGCGATCATGTACGGCGTGACGAATTTTGACGCCATCCTCGACGTCGGGGATCAGTTTCCGCTCACACAATTCTATGCCCAAGCTACCGGAAGCCGCGCTGCAACCACTGGATTGCTGACGCTTGCGATCATCCCAGGCGTTTTCGCCATGCCTGCTACGTATGTATCGGTAAGCGAGCCCCGGTTGGTGTTTGCCACTCATCCCCGTAACGGACTGTGGCTTTAGGTGGGGAGGACGCTGTGGACGCTGGCCAGAGATAACGTTTTGCCGTTCTCCCCATGGCTTGCGAAGAGCTCCACTAAGCTCAGCTGTCCGGTCCACGCTACCCTCGTGACTTGTGCGTCGCAGTTGGCGGTCCCTGAGTTTCACAATCTAACTTCACTTTCACGATCAGATGTGTTGACGACAGCTCTCGGCGCTATCAGACTGGGTAGTCCAACTGCGTTCGGCGACATCGTCGCGAGCTATGTGATATTGACGACAATGAGGTAAGAAGGCTAGCGCTTCTCGGTGTTACCGAAACTGGCTGAGCGTGCTTTCACTGGCAGTTATCTCCTTGCCATCCTCCCACATCTTCTTACTGGAAGGCGGAATGTACCCATCGGTTTGCACCCTGATTGGTAAGGACGATATGCCGCTGACGTGTCGCTCTTACAGGACCGTTTTGGATGGGTAGATGGGGATACGCGGTGAACACGCTAGCAGTCATCTCCATAATCGTCACGAACATATTCTACTGTTTCCCTTTCTTCCTCCCGGTCACTACAGCGTACGTCGCGATTAATCTGGAAGAGGATATAGATGTATCCCTGACGCACATCTATAGAACGATGAACTACAACGCCGTGATACTCGTTGGACTCCTTGCGCTGACGTGCGCGTGGTGGCTCGTTCACGGCACGCGCCACTATTCCGGCCCACGAATTCCCCACCGGGACGAAGCTGGTCGTCGTCTGAAAGCTTCTGATGTTATCTGAGATGCGCCCAACGATCACGATGCAAGAAGAATCGGATCGGAGTTTCCTAAATTCACGAGCGCAGCATTGTATCCCGGGTGTTCAATGTAATCAAAAGGCTCGTGGCGTGCTTCACCGCCGGTTGATACGGAGAAGAAGGATCTGTGCACTCGATGAAGAACAAATTGGACAGGTCCGAGTACCGATTGGTCGATGTGCCCTCAACCCAGGTATGTATATCCAGAGGACTGGGGAAAGTCACGATGAATCTCCTTGACGTTCTGTGGGGAATTACCACGTAAAAAGAGCTTATCGCGCGTCGTGGCCGTTATCTGGGATACTTTGAGCGCTGGTATCTCTGGATGCGTGGTACCCTCACGCGAAGAGAAGACGAGAGATGTTATAGGGAAGCTCCTTCGGAACGACGGGGCGGCCTTGGTGTGCGCTGCCACTCTCCCAATTATACACAATACTGACAGGCGTGGCCGACGATGACCCTCGGTCCGTATACTCCCTCGACGTTATCGCACCCTTGTCTTATCAACCTCCTCTGCAGTTTAGCTAGGATGAGCGTCGATGAGAAAAGAGACGAAGAATTGGTTCTGGATAGCCCTGTACTCGACGAACGCCAGCGGATTAACGCAAGCGGCCACTCTGACAAGCTCACCAGGCACTATTACCTCAAGAGCATAACTGGGACAGCTATCACCATCGATGGATCATGGATATCTCTGTTCGTAAATCATTCGGACGCGTCCCTGTATGCACTACTCACAGTTGCACGATGATCAGGGGCAGTTCGCTTGCTGTCGCGTCAGCTAACGGAGGACCACCTGGGGTGAGTGTTCGAACATGTACGTGATTGGTATTGTGACATGTGTTCACAGATCCTCTACGAGCTTCTCGTCGCATGTATATATTATGCCTTCATCAACGCATCGCTTGCGGAGCTCGCGAGCTCCATACCATCATCTGGTGGTGGTAAGCTCCCTATTTCATTTTAACCCGACGTTATCATATATAACTTCATTAAACAGTCTATCATTATGCCACTGTCACTCCTGGGCCACGTCTCGGGCGCGTCATCGGGTTCTTTGCGGGTATCACCAATCTCTTTGCCTGGCTTTTTGGCGCCGCATCCTCTGTCCTTATCAACTCCACCGTCTTGGTTGAAATATATTCCATCTACCATCCTAAATTTACGGTTCAATCATGGCACATCTTCGTGACATTTCTCGTCCTCAATACGTCTACCTTTTTATTCGTCGTATATTATAACCGTCTCTTGCCGGCTGCGCAGTCATTCAGCGGTGTCCTAATGATGACCGCTGGTATTATCACGGTCATTGTTGTCACTGCCATGACGTCGGAGCACGCCAGTAACTCCTTTGTTTGGACTCAGTGGTCCAACGTGACAGGTTGGTGAGCGCCAATCTTGACTCTCATGCGAATCTGCTCCGACCTACTACGTGATAACAGGCCGAGTGGTGTGGCATTTATCAGTGGAATGCTGAATGGAGCATTTACCATCGAGTCTCCCGATGCGGTCACCCATATGGCTGAGGAAATGCCGACTCCTCGCAAGGACTTACCTAAAGCAATCGCAGCACAACTCATCTCAGGGGGTATAGGTGGGCATACACGGACCGTGCATTGGTTCATTCCTGATATTGTTATTCAAGTGGCTTTCGTCTTCGCCGTCTCCATCATGTATGGCGTCACAGATTTCGACGCAATTCTGAATGCGCAGGGACAATTCCCCCTCACGCAGTTCTATCTCCAATCAACTGGAAGTAGCGCAGCAACCACCGGTCTGCTATTGATTCTATGGTTGCCGTCCATATTTGCCATGCCCGCTTGCTATGTCTCCGTGAGCAATTACTCATATCCTCTCCGCGCGCTCACCACAGCCCCTATCCCCACGAAAGGTTGGACGGATGCTGTGGACACTGGCCAGGGATAACGTAACACCTGGATCTGTGTGGTTGGCGGAGAGCTCCGTCAAGCGGAGCTGCCCTGTTCGGTCGACTTTCATGATCTGTATGCACCGCTGTTCAGGCGATATCTATACTGTACTTGACGCCGGCTAATGCGTCTACAGGGGCACTGACAACAATCTTGGGAGCTATTCGTCTCGGAAGCCCCACAGCGTTCGGTGACATTGTCGCGAGCTTCGTGATACTGACTACAACCAGGCAAGATATCTCGTTATGTTAGGAACTGCATCCTGAATCTGATTTCTACTCCTTGACAGTTACTTGATGGCAATCCTACCTCATCTTCTGACTGGACGACGAAACGTGCCGATAGGTCCTCTAAGCCGTTGTCACAGAATATGGGTGCCGCTAACATAATTACGACTAGGGCCTTTCTGGATGGGTAACTGGGGATACGTGGTGAACGCTTTAGCAGTCATCTCCATTATTGTCACCAACACGTTCTACTGTTTCCCTTTCTTCTTACCGGTAACCACGGGGTACGCGAAAATCGTTGCGAGTTCAAAAGACATCCAAACTGATGCGTTAGTATAGGTCCATGAACTATAATTCTGTAATCCTGGTAGGACTTCTTGCGCTGACCTGCGCCTGGTGGCTTATACACGGTACACGTCATTACGCCGGCCCTCGCATTCCACATCTCGAGGAAGCAGGCCACCGCCTGGATGCTTCCGAGGTTATCTAAATAGCGAAAATCGCCTTCGCTGTCCGGCAGGGTTTGCTGGCGTAAACGATTTACGTACTTGTGGTACATAGTCCATAAATTACACACCACTAATGATTCTCCATCATGATAAGTCGAGATATGCCCTCGCCAATCCCATGAACGGCTCGGGGGTAACGGATCCTCCTACTAGGAAACAGAGCGTGCCCATTCGAAGACTCGTTCTTCTTCCAAGCGACCTTCGATGACGCCACAAATCCTTTCATCGCTCGTTCTTTTGTACTGACCTTTATGAAAATCGAAAATCAAAGTCGTAGGCAGGAGCCAGTCCACATAGCTCCCGCTGGATGACCTTGCTATCCGCCATCGGGGCCTGTTCGGTTTCTCCGCTGCATCGCTCCACCAATCGATCCAGTGAGCGCAACAAAAACATGACCTGCTTGAAAGACCCATCGATATAGTTCTGGCTTCATCGTACTCCAGTGGGAAACCATAAGGAAGATTCGGTCTACCCTCGTAAGCGGCGTAGATCCAGTCTCGAACGAGCCACGATTCGACCTCGTGCGTGACTTGATACCACAAGACGAGCTGAACTTCGGGATGGAGGTTCGCTACCGTCACGGGCGAGTCGTGCCAGGATAGGTTCAGGCGGTACATGAGGAAGTTGATGTCTGCGCGAACGGGAGGAAACGCCGTAACGACGCGTTGGGTGCAGATATCCATGGCGCTCAGATCGTCGGACGCCCATATGTGCTGGACGCGTAGCTCGGTTCCCCATACACGCCGGAAGAGCTGGTCACGATACGCGACCATGTCCTCCAACGCCGCGTCGAAATCCGCGAGGCGGCCAATAAGATACGCGAACCTTCTGACGTGGCGGGTGTCGACCCCTGCCGTCTCCAGCTCTTGGAAGACGGTGTCGGAGAGGAAGTTCGTGTGGCGCATGCATGACGCGAAGCGAGCGAGGAGCATGCAGTATTGGGTTTTCCGCGGAATCTTCGGGTTCAGGTCCGATTTCGATCTCCCGATGCAAGTTTCGTGATATTGGGCGGGAAGGTTGATAGCCTGAGCCTCGTGAAAACAGCGAACGAGCCCGAAATATACCTGGTATACGTCGTCCGTTCCTTGGCTGTGGCATAACTCCTCCCACATCCACGGACCTTCCTTCCCATTGATCTCGCACTCTGCTCCCCTGACGCCGAGCTTCGGAAGGACGGTCGTCCAGTATGTTCCAAGCGCAACCGTAATCTGGCTGAATCGTAGGAGGCTGAGCTCGTGGAAAATCCGCTCCAGGCAGCCTGGTGCGTTCATCGTGATGAACGTCCATATATCGGAAACTTGTGTGGCGTCTGCGGCAGCATCGAAGAGCGCGAGCGCGAGCGCCCTATCGTCCTCGAGAACCATGCCTGACCGAGCGAGAACGTAGGTGAGCGGCCAGTCGTTATCGATGTCTTCACTTTCGTGCGATTCAGCGGCCAGGATATGTGTACCGTCGAGGGCCAGGACGGCTATCGGAAGTTCGGGCTGTCGGTTGGCCAGGATAAGGGCTAAAGCCGTACATGTCGTGTATTGGAGGCGCTCCGTCAGGTCGAGAGGGCTTTCGTCCTGGGGTAGAAATTCTTGCGGGGCCGTATCGTACTCGATGCGGCGGAGCGCACGAAGTTGAGCGCTCAAATGGTCCTGCTTCTCAAGCCCTAGAATTTCATCCTGTTCAGGGATACAGTACCCAGCATGAAATGGGTCCCACCGGAACGAACGCTGTACATGATTCTGCCGAGGCTCCAGAGAGAGGGATGAGAAAATAATGGAGGAGACGTGAGGTCGCTGCCGTGGAAATGGGGGAAGAGTGTTGTACAGTTCGCACCGAACAAGGTAGCCCAGCCACATCATGAAACACGATCGCGGAGCCAGTTGAACAACGCCACACAGAAGATTTGCGCTGCTGCCAACTCGAACCGGAAAAAATTGGAAGATCTTCCGGAAAGAATTTCGGCCAGACAAACTGAAGAGCCACGAAGGCGGTCCTCCTCAGAAGAGTAGTAGGGGTTGATTCAGGCGAAGCCACCAACACGCAACGTCTCAACCCCGGAGTACTACCCACAGACTTGCCGTAGAGTTCTATGATGAGGGCTGCTGAAATCTTGATCACGAACGCCAGAGGCCCTCCTCCATAACCACTATGGGGAGAAAGATCGCGTCTGTGGGGAAGACATATTCCAAGGATATCGCGCCACCCTCCGCCGAGGTGGTTGTTCCCGTTCATGATGTCGGCGCACACTCACTTGGATCTCTTGGACCTCATTATGTTGGGAAGGATTCCACGAAGACGGCCAGCGGAGTTCGAGGGACGAGCAAAGGTTGGGTAAACACGTGCCCCCACAAGCATCAACAAAACAGCTACGGTGTGGCGTGGAAATTGTATCGGGCTGTTCGGCCCCCCAACCGACCACACACAAAACCATACTAATAGCTGAGCTAGGCACTTTGTTTCAAGGAGCACAATACGTAGATACATGTTAAGGAAGATATGATAATGTTAGATGATAATGCTGGATTCACCATGCCCTTGCATATGCACATGCGGACACCTCGCAATGTCGAGGACGTCCTAAACGTAGGGTGTCATAGGAGGGAAGAGGGAAAGAGGTTGGGGGATGGGTGATGGTAGGGTGTCGCAGGTGGCGGAATAGGATGAGGTATCGCAGTTCGATGGTTGATGTATAAGAGATGACGAGAAAGAGAGGAGATGGTACAAATCGTGAAGGAGAGATGATGATGATGATAGATGGTGGTGATGAATGATGAAGACGGCGACGGTGTAGCGACACCGAAGGGAGGGCACAGAAGCGACTTCAAGGGCTCGCCCGAATCTTCGACCGCAGGCGTGGGGGGCTCGCCGCGCGAGTTCCCGGCGGAGGAGTCACGGGCCTCTCCGACATTTGCCTCTTGGCGCTGGACAACAGCGCGGGCAAGGCGCCACGGATCGAGTTATCTGTCGAGTTACCGGGCGTGATCTCGGGGGAGGTTTGACCATGCGATGCCAGCCTTGCAGATCGCCGAGGCGACGACGACGTATCCGGGCTTTCCTCAACCTCAACGAGCGCCTTCGTGACCGAAGGTACCTTGACCTTGGCGCCGCCCTTGCCGTCGAGAGAGGGCGAGCTGGAAGAGTGCGAAAGACCGCGCGCCACGCGCTTGCGGACGGGGAAGAGCAGCTTGCGCGGCATGACGGGCTCCGGGGAGAAGTCGACGTGCGAAGGCGGGAGTTTGGCACGCTCGCGCCGGGAGGGCGTGAGGTTGTAGTACGGGTTTGCATACGTGCGCTTTTGGCCGCGGCTGCGAAAGATTAGTTAGCGACGAGAGCAGTCCCGGAAGCGCAAGAACGTACAAAACGTAGTCGACGGTCGGTCGCTCTTCCTCCTCGGAACGCTGAGGCGGCGTTCCAGGGCTCTCGAACGGCGAAACGTCAGTGTCGCCAGAGTCCTTGTCGAGGAACGGATTGTTTGGCGAGTCGCGGACTGCTTCGGGTTCCCGCTTGGACCTCGGCGCCGTCCGAGACGAACGTCGTGGCGGCGTCTGCGGTGGCCTCAGCGCAGTCGCAAAGATAGTCCTCTGCGCCTTTGGGCGAGACTGACGTCTTGATGGCGGGGGAGACAGGGGCGCGCGAACCCGAGTCGATGACCGGGGCGTCGCAGCCACGTTGGTCGTCTTCTCGCCCGAACCCTCGTCGACTTTGATCCTAACCGTCCGCCCAGACGACTTGGTCGCGCTCCCAGCCCAAAACGCCTCCTCTTCCGCAGCCACCACCTCCTCGGCGATCGTGTCTAACCCCGTCTTCCGCCTCTTCGCGCCCCGCTCCGCCTCCGTGCCCTTATCGGGAACGCCAGGTAAGACATCCTTATCCGCGTTGAGCTCGTCGTCCGAGTCCGAGTCATCCGTGTGCCGCGAGCGCCCGCGTTTTCGCTTGTGTTGAGTGCGGGGCGGCGTCGGGAGGCTGATCGACGACGACGTCCGAGACACGGGCGGTGGCTTTGTTTTGGAAGAGGACGACGTCGGCTTGGGTGCGTGAGCCAACGATAGCGGCGCTCGGATAGGAGACGAGTCAAGCATGCCACGCGTTGTCGGCATGGCGCTCTCTAAGTATGGTTGAAGTCGCTACGGTCTTCGTCGTCGTCGTTGTCAATGTTGTCTAGTGGTGGTAGCGTGGTGAAGGCGTGTTTACTGATGGTTGATTGATCTGATGAGCACTGAGGATATGCAAGGGAGATGAAGGAGAGAGAAAGGCAGGGTGAAGGCAAGTGAAGGGTGTCGCTGAAGACGAGAAACGTCAATGCCCACGAGGCGGGCATTGTTCCGGAGCCGTGGGAATACGTCTGAAAAGGGTAAAACAGCACGTGATCAGCCGTTCTTACTGACGCCGCACACGGTTGCACGTCAAACTTGACTCCCGTTACCCTACCACCTCTCAATGACAATGATATCGACGGTATCGTCTATGAGCACGTTACTTTACTCTATATGTTTAGAGCTATGGGCTAACCTCATTTACCTTATAGTGGTTCTTCTGGAGTTTCTCCTAGCCTTCTACACGGTCAGCGCCTCCATCGGTTATACCAAGGTCTCTGCCCTCCGTGGCATCTTCGGCGCACGCAATTTATGAGCAGCGCATCTTGCCCATTGCGTTTTGCGTTTTGCGTCTTAGATCACATTCGCCGCCCTCGCGTACGTCTCCCTTCATTGCCCTCATTTTTTCCGGATTCCTCACCAACGATCTCTCTTCCTCAGTCGATACTCGCACCTGAGGCCGACCGCCCCCGTCGTTGTTATCTGGTTCGCGAAATTCTGTGGTTCAACGCGTTTTGGACCTGGGAGTCGAACGACTGATCCTTCGTGCTCAACGACCTCAGCTTCGCCTGAGGCACGCCCATCTATATCTCCTCCAGTGTTGTCTCCACTTACTTTCTCAGAAGTCACAGGGACGACAGCAAGCGTCTTGCTCCCAAGCCGCTATCTCCACCTATGTCGTCCTGGGCACGGTCTCCTCTGTTCAGCTGGCGGTTTCAACGACGCCTCGGCCGCCTTCGCCAATATCTACGCAGCCCGAGCTTGAACAGGCCTGCCATCGCCACCCGAATCATCGTCATCGGCTCCGCAACCGCGGATTATGTTCGGCCTCATGGCTGACGCAGGATGATTAATGGTACACTTGCCGATGTGCGACAACCCCGGCATGCGCTTTCAGTGCGGTGCTCGGCGCGGACGAACATCTTTCCTCGGTCAACATCGTCCCCGAGGGCCACGGCGTCCCCGGCGGCGGCTGCGAGCCGATGCATTGGCATGCGCCACCCTCATCACCTCGTGAAGAAGGCTGAGGACCGTTAGCGTTGCAGCGGCTTGAACACTCGATGGCGCCAGGAGAGCATTCACAAGGCATGATAGATGGTCCTGTTTAACCGTATTCGATCCTGTGTTCGGTCGTTGTTGGTGTCTGACCATTTGTCTTCGGAAGTTGACGTGATGTCCTTGGCCATGTCTCGCTATCCATATTCACCCTATTATCATATCCTTTGCTACCGCATTGCGTGTATACCCGAAGGCCAAGGGCGAATATGGCGACATATACAGAGGTGCCGAGAATGAAAACCAGGTATTACGTACGCGAGGGTATAACACAGCGTGGTATATTGATGATCGCCTGCGAAGCATCTGCGGGGGTTATGACTGGCAGGGACTGGCAGGTGGCGAGTTGGAGTTTCTTGGGTACATAGGAAGTATGTACGCGTACGCTCATGACGGTTTGAGCGTGGGCGAAACCGTATTAAGCTGTTCTAGCTCGGCCAACACTTGCTCCATGTGAGGGCGATCCCGGGCTTCGAATTGCCAACACCTATCGACAAGCGCCTGCATTCCCTCCGGGGTGTGTTTCGGAAGCTCGCCGGGCTTTAGGCCGTCCTTCATCGCTAGAGGGATCTGCATGTTGTTATAATAAACATACGGGTTATTCCCGGTGTGCAGCTGAGAAGGTACGAATAGTCAGCCAACTACGAGGAGGTACAACGCATCACCTGCCTCGAGACACAGACATCCGAACGACCACACGTCCGTCTCAAGCGTTGAAGTTGGACCCCCGTCATTGCCGTCGGTCTGGCCATTCCATAATAAAAGTTCGGGGGCCATCCAACGCACGGCTCCGCCAGTCTCCTCACTCGGATTTAGTACGGAGTTAACTGTGATAAAGGAAAGGCCGAAATCGGTGATCAGCGCTCTCTTGTCTTCAGCAATCAGTATGTTGGCCTGGAGAGTCGTGAGAATGGTGGTTTGACCACGGAGATGAAAGTAATGTACCCCTCGAATATCGCCATGTGCGATTTTCTTCGAATGAATATAGGTCAGTCCCTTAGCAATCTCGAGTACCTACGAGAGAAAGGACTCGTGAGCGGCGACCCGTTATCTATCACGGATGCATACCAGTCTTTGCGCTTCTGGGGCCCGTTGAATGCCATTTCTGCCGAGATAATCCCGCGACGTCCCGTTCTCCATCCAGGGAGAGACGAGATAGAACGTGGGATATCCTTCCAGATCTTGCAAGTCGTATTCCGAGGAATAGATGCCCATGAACTGCAGTACGTTATCGTGGCTGAGCATTCGCCATAGCAGAGCCTCGGTTATGAACATCTAATAGCATTGAGCTCGCAAGTTACGCTTGCACGGTCTGGCACGTACTCCGAAAGTGTCTTGCCTTTCCTTGTTCCTGAAATGACGAAGACGCTTGCAGGCGACGTTCTTGCCACCCGAAGTGCACGTCCATACATCAGAGAACCCTCCACCGTGTCGGGGATCGCCTTGGGGTAGCGAGCATGCTACCCGCAGACCTATCGGAATGTACCTGGCCTGATTACACAACATTCCGAGAACACGGTGGCGGCGTCTGATATCTGGGTTTTGCAGGGGCACGCCCCCAATTTCGCTTTCAGAAGCCTCGAACGTAGCTTGCAGGTACTGCCGACGACGGTCAAATGCCAAATTGCGGAACGGGATCAGAGTATAAGTAACACTGACATCATGTAGATCGTCAGCCATTTCCCTCGCATCTTCGAGTGTGAGCTGCAGTACGTTGCTGTCTCCTGCGGGACACACCACGAGGAGTTTCTCTGATTAGCACGTAGTCGGCAAGAGAAGCGGAAAAAATCTTTGCCTTTCCATCGCAGTGTCGGTAGCCTTACGCAATCGATTTCGAGCTTACGCATGCTGCTCGCTTCGTCGGGGCGCAACTCAATCTGCCATTCCCCAAGGTCAATGAATACCTTAGTTTCAAGTTGGGATACACTTCGCACTTACGTTCAATCTGACTTCAGGTGAGCCATCGTGGACTGCATTGACCTCAGAGGACGGCGGAGCTGCGACGTCTGGTTTCGCGAGTACAGGCGCGCTGGCCTAGTTATGAGGTCCATATCAGCTAGCATCATGCGAATTGAGGCATTCATACATTCTGTCCATCCATCGAACCAGTGTCCGCACCCGAAGTACCTGGTTTCTGATCGTCGTAAGGTCATGAGCCGGCTTCAAGCCAGTTGTTTCGATGTAGATACTGACGTTTTTGACAGCCAAAGTCTTTTCGTCGAAGTTGGCGCCTGCCTTTTGCCCACCGCATCGACCAAGGCAAAGAGAGAATGGATCCCATGAGAACGATCTGGAGCTGGGACGACGGCGGAGATACCGGGAAAGAGTAGACCAGGTCAACTACGTGGATAAGAGTCACTCAGAGGAGAGCGGTATCAAGCGGTTCAGATATGCAACTTCGACTGAGTAAACATGTGGATGTTGCTGCACCTGTTCCGCGCTGCTCCAGTTGCACGAGGGGTTAACGCTGTTTCGTGCCTGTGTACACGATCTCCTGAGCCGCCATGCCTTCAGACCCGCTCCATATCAATGGATAGATCTCTCCGAGATGATGGTCAGAATGAACATGCCAACGAGAAGTGTTGCAGTAACTGATCAATGAGTGGCACTCGTGGTTGCCTCGAGCTTATGACCGCACTTATGAATGGGCTTCCATAATGAGTGACCAAAAGCACGTTGATGTCGCGCTCTCTGCGTGCTGCAAACAAGCCAGGCAAGAGCGCAATAGACCTGCCAGCACATCCTACAACAGGTGGTGAGGGTGTGCAGAGCTTTGTCAGCAGGAACTCGAGTAGCAAAACTACACGCAACGCAACAGCCATGTATAGCTCCTCGCCCCTCTCGCCGCTCAGCTTTCCCTCCATCGATCATGCCCTTTCTATGGTGTGGCAGCCCAATACTTTCGCGTTCTCATGCGAGAACTCGAAATGCTTCTCATCCCTCCTCTCGTTCAAATGCTCGCGAAAGACCACTCAAAGGCAGGATCCTTCAACCTTCCGCATATCTACATACATAACACTACAACTTGCTAATGCCATAGATCCCACGCGTCGAGCAGCGCAATCGGCTTCCATGACATCCCGAGCTGGGGTAGCAGGTCTGGACCTTGCACCTTGCACGACCACTTGCGATCGAAACGTGAAGACAAACGCGGATGCGAGCCGTGGTAGGAACAAAGATACGTCAAACCCAGTTTACTGACATGTATACCCTGTGCAGTTATTACCTATTCCGGCGATGCTGTCCGACCTCTTGCGATTACGGGTGGTGAGTAACCCCACCTGAATACTATTACTACTTCCCGTGAGACCCAACATGTTACAGGCGCGATATCTGTATTCGAGCAAGAAGAGTTAGAAAATAAGACGTTCGAAGCACTGAAGTCTCTTGGGATCAAGCATCCACGAACAGGATTCACCAGAAGAGCGGAAAAAGTCGTTAAGATTGTGAATATTATCCAGAAGGTAAGTCTTCCTTCACGTTTCAAATTACCAACGATATGCAATGTTATCTCTGCCAGCGTCTTGACTCCCCCAAGCCCTTAGGAGTAGCTGAACGTTGTCAAGCTGCAATTGTCATGTCAGAATTAGTTCGCCAGGCCACTCGCTTACCACGCGTGCTCGTTATACGCAATGTTAAGCTTACGGCGGAGTCATTCAAGTTGTCGGGAACAACCGGGGACGTGAAAAAAGGGACTCTCCGTGGCGGCGCTGTTGTAGCACTGAAGAGGCTACGAGTCACCGCGGCACAGAAGGAACAAGCCGTCTTCTATACCGTGAGTTACTACAGCACCCTCCGATGTCTCCGCTCATTGCGTACAGAAATTACGAGACGCGATCGTTATCTGGCGCCAATTGCAGCATCCGAATGTTCTCTCCTTGCAGGGGCTATACGGTCCTGGAGTGTGTACCAATGGGATCATGAAGATTGGCGAGGTGGCGTCAGGAACTTCTTTATATCTCGTTTCGCCTTGGATGCCTAATGGAAACGTCGTTGGTTATCTTGAAACGCACGGACCCGACGCAAATAAGCTCTTAAAGCTGGTAAGCCTGCCCTTGGCCGCGATTCAATCACACTAAACCACAGTCGACGGTACAGTCCAGCGATATCGCGAATGGGCTTTCGTACATCCATGAGTTCGGCCTGATCCATGGGGACATGAGAGCGGTACGTATTTGTCACGCTGCGGATAAGTTATCTAACCTATCGCCAGGTCAACGTTCTCGTAGACTCTCAGGGTAATCCAAAGATCACCGACTATGGGATACTACCTATTTATAACGAGAGTCAAGTCGTCGTCGAGAGTCCCGGAAGTATGGTAATCACACGCTACGCTGCACCCGAGCTATTCGGACTTGAGACGCGACTGGATTTACCAGCGCGACAAGCGGCAGATGTTTTCGCATTTGGGTGCGTTTGCTTCGAGGTTCGTACACGCCACATTCAATGCTCCAAAATAATGACATTATGGACGTAGATGTACACTCTCAAACTACCTTTTCCTGACGTTGAGAAGGATACAGCCGTACCATCGTTGGTTATCAAGGGCAAGCGACATACTTTGCCAACTGCTAGAGACTGCCCCTTCGGTCAGCCGCCTCCTGAAATGTCGAGAATCATGGAACAGTGCTGGGCAGAGAAGAGCGATGCACGCCCTAGTGCTCGTGATATAGTAAATCGGTTGGTTGACATACTCCATCGATAGTTACTCGCGCGATACATGTTGGCTTGGAGCTGGATTCATAGACGGCTATAGTGACCCGTCGCTCATACAAACAGAGCGCGTCGGAGACCACATCGAGTTCGAGTACTCATGCACCGGACCTCATAGTGGGATGCGTTCAAGGTGCTTTGCTCAGGACTGATGATGCCGAGGCGCTCGCGCTCGTTCAAGCAGTCGCTGGCGATGGGTCGTCTGGTGCTTAGAAGCAGATTTTCCCATAGTCGCTCTTGCGTATAGCTTTGTATGTCCTACCCCCTGCTGCTTGCGTTGTATACGTTCTTGAAACATGATAGCCTATGTAGCATCGACTCATTGGTAGCATGGTAGTAGAGCGACGATCGGTGCAGCATGAAAATGAAACGGACATCAAGTGAGAGATTCATATGCCAATTTATGTAATTGTGCTTCGTCTCATAGGCGGACCGTCCGTTCAGTGGAGCGGATTTGAATACGTGACAGTGTCCATCGTCTTGTAGCTTTCAGTTGTTGCTTGAGAACAAAGTCATAACCGATGCTTCGGCTGTCAGGCCTGACCGCATGCGCCGTCGTGCCCTGTGCAACCTGAGCGATGTAAGGACTCCGACAATCAAAGACTCGTATATAACTCGCACCTTTTCGGTCTGGGTTTGTTCGTTCCATTCGGAGGTGCGACGGGGCGATCTTTGCGGGCTTCATCACGCGTCCCCTTTCCGAACGACGAGTCAGGACGCAACGCCCGGGTCGCTGAAGTCATGGATGAGATGGTGTAGATGTACGACGAGAGTAGGAGCCTATGTGCCCGCAGATTGTTACATCCCTCGCCCTTGGGGTATATCTCCCGATATCCACGGCGCCGTGTATGCTGGTGAGTCATGAATGCTGTCCCGGGCGGCGGCATGGGCGTTAGAACTCGGACTGCATTATCGTGGTGCAAAGATAGAGAATCATGGTCATGGTTCCAATGACTGAACAAGCTATAACGAGAAGCCATAGACAACGAGGCGACTAGTACATATTTGCCACGAGACGGCGAAGCCCGGCACTTCATCGGCATGTCGGCATTTTCCTGATCAGGCAGTAGAGCCCCGCGCCGGGGTCTGCGATCTGGCATCCGTCATTGCCACTTAACTGCCTCCATATCTTGACCACCTGTATGCAGCCTTCATGACGGGAACACGTACCCGCCATGTTATTACCGTTCAGTTTTCCGAAGGGTCGTTGTGCGCATGTCAAGAACTTGTCCGGTCTGCGCTCGTAATGAGAAATGGACTGAATGACAATCATGTGATGCTCCACCTTAGCTGCGGCGACGACCTCATCGACCAAGCCGTTTAGCGCTAATCATGTAGTGAGAAGGAGTTGGCACTCGACTTGACGCACCATCCTCGGAACATGCTCGCACTACTCAAATATGCTGTCGCGATTGTTGTGCTACTCTCGGCACAACTCGCTTCGTCGCAGGCGGACGCTGCCATCCAACGTGAGTCAATACCGTCCATCTTCCAGGGTATCACCTCACTCTTCCCTTAGAGTGCTACAAGAATGCATTTGCGGAAGCATTGGGTCCGGAAATCACCGACCCAGCCAATCGTACCGTCCACCTCTGCGAAGACATCTCGCTGTTCCAACAAGCGGCCAACAACATAATCCGCGAATGCTTTGGTGGCAACATCAACGTGACGTGTGTCGCCACGGCTGAGCAATACATATTTGACGCCTGCTTTCAAGTGGTGAGCACTACGTCCTGTTGCTCGCGCTTGGGATAATGCTGACCGAACGCGGAAGGGCGTTGTGATACCTGCTTACAATCGCGCTCAAGTGACGCCAACCCCCGGATCTACGTACGTCTTGCTCAACTGCTCTTTGATTGATTCGATAACACCCTATGCAGATCTATTTTTACGACCGAGCCTGGGATGAGCGTGACGAGTGCGGTTTCAACTCTCAGCTTAACGGCTCCGCTACCGGTGACATCCAATAATACGTAGGTTCAACTGCTCAAATAGCCTATCGTCTCCTATTCACCGCCCGCCAATGTATACAGACTACGTTCCTCCACCACCGCAAGTGAACTGAGCACGACAACGAAGTGCGTCGCTCCTTTCCGCATGCTTATGTGTTCGCTCACGGGCTTCCAGGGCGGTTCCAGGGTCGAGCGTCATGAAAACTACCTCCACATCCGCTTCAAGTGCTGCACCGTCATCGACGCAAACTAGCCCCGCAGAACGCGTCGCTGCCGTCAAAGTGACCCTGAGCTGCTTCGTCACGTCCGCGGTGGTCAGCCTATTGAGCCTATGACCAACGACCAGTCTGATAACAACCAGCGATATTCAACTTGTGGTGCCGTCAACGTGCGACATCGAACGTAGTTAACTCCTTCGGCTTCGCGATTTCTGATGGATGCAACGCGAAGGCATGGCGCGCAACCACGATCGAACATGAGGTGTTTTGGAGGTCAGGATGCTGTGACCGCGGCCGGGATGAAGTCGTGAGTGCAGATGCAATCTCCCAACTTAGATGTCAAACAAGCTCGAGATGACGAGCACGATGCCGCAAAAGACGGATAGCCCGCACCTTTCGTGGACTAAGACCGAGCCCAACAGCGGACGCCCGCTAAATGGTATGCGGGTGGGTTACCGACCCCCGCCGATGATCAATTGCGATAGTGTCCAATTCGTCATCTTTGGGGGCCTTCCCACATGGAACGAAGGTGCTTGCTTTTCTCGGCTTCGTGGCGTCTGCAGGCATGGAGAACCTGACGGTTCCGCGAGAAGGTCAGCTTCGAAACTCTCATCGTTTGCGAGCCTGGAATGGCTTACTCAGGCCGGGTATGGGCCGACTCGCCGATTGGCACGACAATACACCTGTTCGCGCCAGGCGTTGTCCGCATCCTTGATCGCTAACCGGTCGACCTTGACGTATCTTCATCAGTGCTAGAGGCTTGAGAAGAGGACTGCTTATATTCACACTCACGACCTGTCGAAAGCTTGACGTCAGGTCAGTCATCAAAGACGCATTCCAAGTCGACCGTGGGTCGATCATAGAAGATACGCCCTTCTCAATTATAGACATATCACCATGGTCTTGGCAGAAGACGCGCCCATATGGGAGTATAGACCCGGAGCGCTGTGTCCACGGACGGAGCACGAGCCGCGAGCGCTCGTTCTGAGTTAACGCGGTACCCGGCAGTACATCCCCAGATACTGTGAGAGGGGGCTAGCTATCTTCTTAGCCCCTGCGCCGAAGTTTCCAGATTGAGCGTATCGTCAAAGGGGGGGGGGGGGCGGGGGTTGTGCTATAGCCACAAATCGGCCATCGCGTCGTTTCGCCGGCGGCACGCGAGGCCCAGAAGTCATTGTGCGAGGTGCGAGAACGATGAGACCGCAGGGCTGCGGTGGTAGAAGCCGACAAGCAGCCGTCCGGAGAGGACGTGAAATCCGAGCTTGATGGAACGCCAAGAGTTATCAGGAAAACGCTCACTCACAGGGTGACCACCAGGGCGACGTATGGCACATCTGACAGACAATGTTGATCGACACTCAATGAAACCCGAGGGGGTAAATGGGAATGATTCGGGTCGCGTCGGAAAGCAAGGGAGAACAGGAAGAAACGCGTGTAAAGGGAGGTCACATGATCGGAACTCTCTCACCTTCCTCCCTTCGTCGGTTTGCCGATTGACGTGCTCTGCATTAGCCTAAGCAGCCCGCGTTCTGAGAATTGAATCAAGTCTCTTCCTCAATCGCTTGCGCCAGCCGATCTTTAACTCCTCAAGTTAGAGCGGGGTTAGAGGGGCAGCACACATGTCCTCTCTGCAGTTTTATACGCCCTACGGGCTCGACGCCATGCACCTGCCTCCGGTTCACGGTGTTGCAGTGATCCTTGGAACGCAGCCTCGTCCTCGGCTCGCGAATCCTAGGTCTTATCCGTGGTGTCCTTAGTTGAGACATCCGCCCCCACATTCTTTACCCGACATGGACAACCAAGTCCTCTTACCCCTACCTGCCACCTACCCCCGGTACACCGATCCGGAGGTACAGGAACGCAAATCTAGATTTGCTGACCTAAAGGAGTACCTCATGTCTGAGGTAAATCCTGAGCTTTGCTCGTATCCTCTCGCTGGCTTCACCTTCATGACCGGCTACATGTACGTCCATCGGCAGACTTCTTGACTTAAGCCCCGTTCTCATCGTGATAACAGAGATGCCGTCACCTTTTCCGCCGTCGGGCTCTGGTGCGGCTACCAGACGGGCAACTCCGCCCAGCTCGCCATCGCGATCGCCAGGCTCTTCCAGGTGCAGCCCGATGGATCGTACGATTTGACATTCCATATGCACGATCGCCTCGCGCTCGCGTCCCTCATCACTTTCTGTCTCGGGGCCATCGTCGGCCGCATGGGCGACAAGCTCGGACCCAAGACTCGTCTCTGGCTCATGCTCGGCACGTTCATACAGGGCCTGATGACGATGGCCGCTGCCATTGCTATCTGGAAGAGCGGGCAGCCCAGCTTCGAAGGCGTCAACGGTGCTCCGGCTTGGACGAACCCCGCTGCCTTCGTCAGCGTCGGTTTCATGAGCGCGAGTTTTGGTCTACAAGGCATTATGGCAAAACGCCTCAACACGTCGTTCACGACTACCCGTGCGCTCTCCTTTACTCTGATGTAAGCATTCCAGCTGACACGGATTTCCTAGTGGTCCTTACGACAGCATGGTGCGAACTGGTCGCCGATCCTAAGCATCGGCGCACCGTATTCGTTAAGAAGATATCTGCGATCGTATCCCTCCTCATCGGCGTGTTCGTCGGGCGCTCGATCCTTCAAGTCACCGACGCCTCCGTGACCCTTGGCATCGGGTGTGGCGTAAGGTCAGTCATTGTTTCGTTGTTTTTCATCCCTGAAATCACTGTCAGCTGATGCCAGACCACAGGGTATTCTTCGCTCTGGTGTGGTTCTTCGCGCCCGCCAAGCGACTCCCATCCAAATTCACTCCCCGCAAGCGTCCGGACCCTCCTCCGGCGCTCAAGCCACTGACGCTCAACGCGTCTGCCGCCATCCAAACCGAGAAGATCCCGCCCGTGGTCGAGCAAACGCGCACGTCCTACATCCCGTTCCCGTCGGAAAAACCCGCGGTCTTCTTCGAGCCGCCCTACACCCCGCCGCAGTCGCCCCGCGACCGCCGCCCCAGCCGCCCGCGCAAGCGCACCCTCTCCAGGGTCATCGTAAACTGGTGGAACAACTGGTCCGGCCGCGGCACACGCTCGCGCCAGTCATCTTTCCGATCCCTGCGCAGGGACTAGCGCCCCGAGCTCGGACACTTCTTTCCTCGGCGCCTACATGAGCGAGCCTCCGCTGCGCCCTAAGGCGATACCGAAAATGTATAGGGACTTCTCTGTCGTCCACTTCCTTCTCTTGAACTCCGCATTCGTATTTATTTGTAGAACGGAACGCTCCCATGCTACGCAGCCTGCGTTCCAGGTCTCTCTGACCTCCATGGCAATAGCGTTGAGCTTCTTACCACACTCCTTTCTTGTACAATAGTAGCGGATGTACTGCATATCATGTACATTCTTGTACGACGCATTACCGCATTATACCGGGCTTTCGGATGACTCTCAGCATGCGATTTGATCTCCTTATCACGAACCATTTCACGCCAGCCTGTTGATCGACATACAGCGACCGAAAGGACACCACACATAATACATTTTTATTCGGCGACGAAGACGCACTCACACTGCGCCGGTCCAAGCCGGCGTATCCGCGAAAAGGACGCCCATGTCGGGAGGAGGATATCGATCACCTTGCGCAGCATCGGCCTTGTTCTCGACTTCCCTGACCTCTTAGATCTCCTCCGGCATGAGCTTTACCTCGACGGCGCCCAGGTTCTCTTGGAGGTACTGCAGGTCAAGACGTCAGCCATAGCTTCCTGCCGCCGTCTTGGGATAGATGACCACCAACCTGCACCTGCGTCGTCCCCGGAATGAGGATGACGTCCTCGCCTTACGCGAGGAGCCATGCGAGGGCGACTTGATCGGCGGTCGCGCCGTGTCGCTTGCCGATGTCCGCGATGTCGTCGACGAGGCGAAGAATGTTGGGGAAATTGTCGGCGGTATAGCGAGCGACCCTCCGTCGGAAGTCGCGTTCGCCAAAATCGTCGGGCGATTTCTGCGCACCATCACGTCTGCTGCAAGGGTCTCTTGCAGGTATGTAGACGTGCCAAAAGACGACTTGGTTGATGCACGTTGGCTCCATCATCTGCATATTCAGATGGCCCCATGTACGAGACCGACATCCGAGGAGCGGTAGTTCCGCAACAGATTGCGCGCTATATTATTTGAAGGAGTACTCCAAGTATAAATGGCAGCTACGTAAAACCTATCTCACGGGCGCTGAACGGTGTATAATGACCCAAGATCCGGTTATCGCTCCCTAGGACCGAGCTTGAGCGGTCATCTGAGCTGCTGATTGGTGCCTATACTTACCTTGATATACTAGATGTACCGGCTTCAATACCTCAATCCGCATGCTCAGGCCGGAAGAACAGGTAAAGTGTCCATGCGAGTGATCATGTGATAGGACATAACAAGACATAATCTGATCTCATCGTGTTATGATTATCCCCCGAAGATGGGCAAGAGAACAACGCTTTGATCTTCCAGGGTTTGTTCAGGGCCGGGGGCATCACGCGCTCTCTGTTTCCGGCGTGAGCGTTTGACATATTCTGGAGCTGGAAGTAACTTTAATTTTGGCTAGATTTGGGTTGAAGGCAATAGCTTCTCTGAGATCGCTCTCTCTACACCGCTCCGCACTTCGAGTGCGTACGAAGAGGCCATTGTCCGTGCACGTGTAAGTGACTATGGAGAGCTTGACGTTGGAGACGGTCTCGTAAGACACCCTTCCCTGAATCGCGGCCATCTTGAGCTCGAGGGCGGGCGGCTGCCGCGAGCCCTCGCCAGCGGAGAACGTGCCTAATCGAAGGAACAGTACGACGAATCGTCTACGGAGAGAGGAGAGAAGGACGTACCGGCACCCCAAAGCGGGCCACCGTGGGCCTTGCTTAGGTTGGTGAGCTGCGCGAAGGCGTGCTTGTAACTGCACGGGACGTAGACCATGCCGTGTGGTGCGCGATACTCGACATGGCCGCTGAACAAACGGCATCAGCATAGGCATCCTTCGTCGACATAAAGGACGACGAAGGTAGGCAATTGCCAATAGCGGTCCACTCCTGTCGCCCTTCACCCATTTCCGGAGGTGGAGACAACCACGCCCGCAAAACTAGACGGGGAAGTTGCCGTACTGGGTTGAAACACCGATAAGACCCGAGTACAGCTCGAATAAAAGACGGTATCAATGCATGGGGCAGCTCGGGGGCGTCATGCAAGGGTCTCAAGATTATTCGGATTTTTTATGAGGCGCGAGCGCATATCTGTCGCACTTCCGGGGAAGTATGTAGCGGGAACTTCTTCCCGGATTACATGTGCGACATGTTCGAAAGGGACCTCCTCCCGTGAACTGCGCGGGAAAGTTGCTATATTGAGCCGCATTTCCGTATAAGAACGAGTGACAGCTGTAGAGGTCCCTCGGGCCCAGAAGGAGATAGGTAACTTGGGATGCGGATATTGCTTTGACGGCAGAAGATTGTGTCCCGCGTGGGTTTGCCGCTGAAGTATACTAGCGTGGCTTCGGGGGGATTATTAATAGACAAATCGGACTAGGACGTGCTGGTCATGGAAGCCCGCGATGCATATAAGGCAAGCGCTTGGCTGTCCAAAGTGGAAAAGTTGGCACCAAGAAGAGGGGTCTGGATTCGCGTGTACATATTGATCGAGTGTAAAACCGTTCCATCGGAAAGATCAAAAGCTTAAATATGGGCACATGATCTTATAGCTAACGTCGAGAGGTGATGGTGGCGCTTACCAGCATGGATTGTGCGAGCATGGATATGATATCAAGGCGGTGTTACTGATATAAAGTAAGTTGGGTCAGCTGATGGCTCTTTAACCGAGATCCAACCCTCCTATGTCTCTCCTGAAAGTGCTTAATGCAACGCAAGCTGTCGCTGTCGCAGATGTGGCATTCCGTTTTAACGTCAAGCACGTAGCGCCACTTCTTCTGTTGGAAAGCTTTGCATTTGGTTCGACTTTCCATTATACACTCGATCGAGCGCAACTGAGCCTGCGCTGCAGGTGTAGCATGTACAGTGCTTCTCTTGTGGATATACTGGGCTCTGTGAGTAGATTATCGAGTGTCTCGATGATACTGAGCTGATTTTCTTCACATATCCGTGTCTCTACGTCACAGATTCGTAAAAACGAAACATGCTCCCACGAAGATCAAGATGTTAGCTCTTCCTGCAATGTATCTCATCCTCGCCATACATTGGTCTATGCTGTTGCATAATTTCTGCAGTATTTTCAACGGAACGTGAGGTTGACATTGCTGTGGATACCACTCATAATTTTACCTTGGAATAGAGCAATGAATCTGCCCTTTTCCGACCTTTACATTGAGGCGTACAACTCAGCTTTAAATGACGGAGGCTCGTGGGTAGCAATAGACAGCCTTAATAAACAAGGGACTGTTTTGTTATACTTACTACCATTCGTGGCCGAAACAGCCTTCTTTGGTGAGTTACTATGGATTAGTTGACCGTGAGACGTTCTCATGATTGCATAGGGTCACTAACAGCGCTTTTCACGGTTCTATGCTATGTGGCCTCGAAGTAGGTCACAAAAGACTCCTATATTCATCCGTAATTGAAGTAATTCTGCTCACGAAGACAGCGCAGAGATCAGCCAGACGCCGCATTGAATAAGTTCATTGTGCGCGCAGTGATATGTGTGATGTTCCTATTTTCCCTGGTGCACTGGTGCATCGACCTCCTTGCATATATTGTTGCCACTGGCACGGTCTACAAAGAGTTCCCCTTCAACACAATATTGGTGAACCAAAGTTACATCCGCAATGCCCTGATCTATGTCACAGTGTGTTCATCGCAGCGGGAATAGTCGTGTCTTGTCATTCACGCTGCATTTAGATCTTGCTCAGCGACGGGGTCGTACTGTGGCGCATGTGTGTGCTGTGGGAAATGCGTCCCATTCTCTTATGGATCTCGGGAGCAGCACTGGCAGCTACCACTGGTGCGTACTCACGCTGTACGCTTACCTTCTTCACTTTGACGCATTCCTCCGGTTGTTAGGATTTTCTATAGCCAATACCGTGGCTCTAGCCCAGGACCACTGGGTAAATAGAATATCAAGCGTGGAGGTATCCCTGCCGACGTTCAATGCATCCGTTTTTGGATTATTGGCAATGGTGGTATCCCTTATGTCCAATGGTTTTTCGACCATCGCGATTGCTTATAAAGCGTGGTGAGATGAACAGAAAACCGGTGTTATCACCAGCCTTTGTTGAGCTACACATACATACAGGCAGCATCGCAAGCTTCTCAAGGCGCAGCTACAGAGTAACTCCTGCAGAACATTAGTTGAGAAGATCATGAGCATTCTTATGGAATCTGGGGCAGTTTATTGCTGCATATGGGTAAGCACATACTTCAATAAAAATGGCCCTATTTAATCGCCTCGGTTGTCTCGCAGATACTCTGGATTATTGCCAGCTACTTTCCGGTCGGAGCTGCCGGCACTCAAATCAAACTCCCTGGGAGTCGGGTGCTCATCGAGCAGCCGGTCCTCGAAGATTATCTTAACGTCATCATGGCCCAGCTTACGGTAATGTCTTATTCCTGCTCCGGTGACGTTATTTGCATGTGAGGCTGAGTACGCTTCCATGCCAGTCTATCTACCCGCTACTGGTCCTCCTCCTCGTGGCCTTCGAGCGTACACACTGCGATCGCGGGTTTTCGCTCAACGAGTATGTCACCGACGAGCTCAGATTCTCTCCGCCAGTCATCCTTGATCTTGTTCATGGCGGTGACCACGAAGAGATCTTTCAAGCAGCATGCCCAGACTCTGCTAGTAACTTGGGACCAAACACCGATGCAAAGGCGTCAGACTCAGTTTGATTGTCACGTTGGCGTGTCTGTACTCGCTGCCTCCCTTTGACATGACATGTACGTAGGACTTTGTTACTCGAGATATCGGTGGACTGTCTTCATGCACGCGTATATACTGGACAGCAATGGGTGTACATCTTACACTTGGGTCTCAGCGAACGTTCCACGCAACTTCATTGAGCGAGTCGTTTTGTGAACCTACGTCTCGTAGCAGCGGCCGATCGACTCCGAGCACAGGTTCGCGGAAGAAAACCAGTCTGTCCATCACGATTACAGCTTAGCTGCAGCAGAGGTCGGCGTACGAGCTTGACCAGCTCCGGCGATTCTCCTCGAACCTCCGTCCGATACGCGTCGTTGTGCTCGTCGACCTAGGAGACATCGACGAGCTCCTGGCGCCATGGCGGCGGTGGTTGCACTCCTGCGAGAGCGCGGGCGGTGACGGATCGCGTACGGCAACGAACATTCGCACCATCGCTCGTGTACGGTATTCAGTTGGAGTTTTCGTCGTGTCGTGCGATACAGCGCACTCGGGACGTCCACCCGAGACAGCGACAGGAATGGTCGACCTTTTCCAGCTTTGCAGTTCAAAATGTTCGGAGCAGTGAAGGGTCGACAAGGGCGCGACGTTCCGAGTCGGAACGACAAGCCAACGAGGAGCGCGCGTCCATTGCGTGAGCGACTGTCTTCCACGCTCTCTAGAGTCTGTCTAGGGAAAAAAGAGCGCGCGCACGTTCGCGTCGGAAAGCGACACGCCCAAGAATGGGCGACGCATACTGCCTGCGCATGCGGCGATCATAAGCAGAATTGCCGTATCCATCGCGGAACGAACACGGGAACGTCGCTCACCTGTTTATCCCAGACACACCAAACACCGTCAGTAGACATTTCCTCTCATCAAAACGATAAAACCGACGTCGCCTTCGCGTAACAACCCATGTCGAGCGTGGCGGATCGTGGTACACCCTGTAGCCAGCCCTACTCCTTGCGGATGCGGACTGCACTGCTCGGGTCGGAGAATCGCGCGATGGTCGACAAGCGTCGCAGCTTCTGGATTCAGGATCAATGAAGGAAGATATGGTGAATCGCTCATAGGGCGAAATCCCGAGAGACGGTGGGAACGCGTGGGTATGTGTGAACTGCTTCGGGAGATGGGCGATCTTCGTTTCGGCCTCGAGGGCGCGGGGAGAAGAGCGAGAAGACGAGGAGGACGCGAGCGCACCACATCGCGCCCAGATATCCGCGGTATCCCAGAACGTGCAACCACTTTCGTAAAGCGCGTCGAGAAACTGTGCTGGGAGATCAGATGGGGAATAGTAACAAGAGCACCTCGCACCTTCAAACGCTCCTCGTCGGCTTACGAGGTGCCATAGGCAATGTTTCCGATGCCCGTAGTCCCGTAGCCTATCGCTGAAACAACTTCTCCGGAAATCTTGCGAGACGGGAATGGCTTGGGGGAAGTCATAGTTCGGGAGATCTTGCGATCGAGGTGGTATGTCGGAGATACATGATGGGCTGTCCTTTATGCTTTACTATCAAGCCCAGTCATGAGCTATCGGTACCGACGGTCGGGAGGTAAGGCAAGCGAAGAAGGTAACAAATCTGTAAGCATAACTCTCGGGGAAAATAATACAGTACCTCGCGATGTGTCGAGGGTGCGGGAGGTGCCATGATTTTGGTTTTGCTGGACGTATTGATGACATTTATCTGTGGTGATATTCAAGCCAAGGTCTATTCCGGGCATGCTGAAGTTTCCATGAACACAAAGAGCGACGGCAAAGCGACGAACGCGATGGCTCACACGCCCACGTCCGGTCGCATGTCTCTTGCAAGAGCCCGGGAAGGTACAGGCTTGAGGGCATTTCTTCAACAGCCAGATAACAGCGGAGCGACGAAACGATAGGTGGAAGTTGCAGCCTTCCCGATTCTATTGACGACGTACAAGCTCTCGTGGCAAACAGAGGCGAAGTAGCTGAAGCGGTGCTCCTCACTTTCCTCTTCTACCGACTTTCCCTCATCCGTGGACGCCGAAGACATACTGCTTGCCTTCGACAATCGATCGACAGTCAGGATCACCGGGATGACGGAAATTCTTCGCTGAGGGTGTATCTGTATCGCGGCCTCGATTTGCCAGTCTGCTAGTCGTCGACACCATGGAGAGCACACCGCCCGGTACACCAAGTGATTCTTGCAGAGTAGAGGATTATTCCGGGTACGTACCGGTGAACTAACATTCTTGTCCGACATAACATCTCATGGCATTGTTTCTGATCGTGCCGAACAGAGCGAATCGCATCCCGACGGCGCCGCCAACATCGGTGGACGCTCGCTCCCAAAGGATCCGGCGTCACTACCCACGATAATGCATTGACTCCTCGGGAGATCCGTTGGTGGTGCAGCCCTGACATTGACCTTGAGCTGGTTCATATGGACTTGCGGTGTGTTTCCGTGCGCTCTTGCTCGCCCCGCTATCGTAGTCGCTGAACTTCGTTGATTCTCGCTTGGACAGATAAACCGCATCACGATCTTCAACTATTCTATCTCTAATGACCAAGACTCTTGATGTTCCTCCTCTGAAGGCTGCCACCCGGCTGGTGTGCCTCGGACCCAAGAGACCTCTTTGGCGGACTACGCCGAGCTGTCATCACTTTCGTGAACGGAAAGTGCGACCGGCCGTCTCATCAAAGCCTTCTGGGACGATATCCTCACGTTGGAATAGATAGCTTATATCGGTGAGTATGGTACATATATTCCTCATTCGGGGTTACGAAGATTCATACCTTCACCCTGGGTAAGGCGTGTGCTGTTCGTGTTGATCATGCACCACTTCACCCCGAGGTTCCGTGCAGAGCTCGAATAGCCTCGCAAGCGAACGAGGTGCCATAATCGGTGGGTGGTATCTCAGCTATGCCTGCGGTCCACCTGATGGGGACTCTAGGATCCGAGAAATGAGCTGAAGATCTGGTTTACAAAAATGGTGCCTGAACCACGATACTGAGAGAACATGGTACGTCTCCTCGTATTCGGTGAGCACTGAGGTTTGACCATCGACTCTCCAGAAATGATGAGACGCTGGTGACACGTCGTTTATCGCGCGGTTGTAGAAAGAAGTGTAGAATTATGTTCGTTCATTGAAAAAGACAAAGTCCCCAAATTGAAACCGAATCGCGCGGCAATGGCGGTCGGAAAGCTTACCCCAACAAACATCGGATCGGTTACGAGGTGGGATCTACTATGTCAGATTTTGTAACGCCCGCTTCCCCTCATCCTGTCAGCTCTCAGATTCGAAGGCAGAATCGTCGCAGGGAGATGGACAGAAGCGAAGCCTTGTTCGTCCTCGCTGCTGTAGAGGACGTTCGCGGATCTTGTGATGTAGACAAATATTTACCGTACGTGTGGCAGACATGTGAGTACCGCCAGCCTTTGAATGTGCAATCCTGACGAGCTATCTCAGAACCGAGGGAGATACGTCGTGGTGATTATCCCTGGTGCCGCTTTGTATCATTCCGTTGTAATCACAGCCCAGGTTCAATATCAGGAGCGCCGATGTTACATCTCGTTTTAGCGTGTGAGGATGGAATCATCATGTGCCCAATTTGACTCTAGGGAGGAATGTGGTATCCTTCGCAATTTCGTCCTTGACGCGCGATTGGTCTATTGCTTGGTTTGGAGCGTTCTTGCGCATGCTTGAAGAACGCAGCTTTACAGCCATCCATGCCGCCGATGTTGATGAGTGCCTTCGCTAACTTTGGCATTATGTTTCATCTTTCTGGATTTCAGGGCTCGGGCTCGGACATCACAAGATGAAGCTGTCACTCGGGGAAGCTTTCTACCACACTCCCGTTATGGTATGCTCTCTGTACGACATGCTACACCAGAGGGTGTCCCCATCGATGCACTGGCAATAGGATGAGTGAACGTGCCCTTGACTACCAGTCATACCGAGCAATTTCTCACCACCGACTCATGAATCATCATGAAACCTAATTAGGACGCTCTTGTTCTATTCACTATCGCACGGCCCTCCGTAATACCATGATCCGAAGAGAAGGGCTATACATGTAACTCCTAGATAGGTGTAGCGGTGCGTGCTCTTGTTGGGATATGGCGTTGGCGAACTCGTACTGATATGAACGTAGTCATGGCCCAGCTTACGGTGTGATCCTGCTCCTGCCGTGGTATCGCCATCCGCATGTGGAACTAAGTACATCACTATCCCAGTCTATCTACCCGTTACTGGTCCTGCTTCTTGTGGCCCTCGAGCGTACACACTGCGATCGTGCCTTTTCGTTCAACGAGCCTGTCACCGAAGAGCTCGTATTCTCCTCGCCTGCCATCATGAATATTGTTCGCCGCGGCAACAATGAAAAGGCGTCACGCAAACATGAACTTCTATCCAAGAGCACGGTTGTAGTAGGTTTATTCCGTACATAGTGCTTTGCGTCGTCATATGCACGCTTATATATGTATTAACAGTGTCACAAATTACGATTCAACAACCAATGAATGGCACGCTTTTCGAGCGCTGCGTAAAGTCTGTTCTAGTATTAGCAAGAATTATTGATGTATGCGCAGTGGAGAAGGTTTTACGCTACTTCCACCGAGAAAAACGAACTTGCGATGAACTGCAGTATGAGGCAAGTTACGTACCGCAGACTACAATTGATGGTCCGCTTCTACTTTGAGCATGCACAGCACGATTAGAATCCGCAATCGTAGTATCTCAGTCATCGTCTTTGCTTATCAGGCTCAATGTGGCCAATGCAAGTGTCCTGTCCTTTGACTATTGACTATAGAGATTAAGAGACGCATGGGCAAGGCATATCATCTCGGGGGTATTGTTGCAATCATACACGTAAAGCACGCACACCTCGGGAGTAGCAAATGGCGCTCAGGATGACTTTCGGCCAACGTTCCGGAACTTGCACCCTCGAATCACGTCGTGTTTCATATCAGTATCTATCGGAACAGGCCTAGTCCGGAGAAAGCGCACAGTGTGTGAGTCAGATGATAATGTACTCTGCATCGCCGCTGGAGACTTTGTTGATTCAGCTCATCGTATGGAAGACATGTCACCCTCGGAGTCGTGTCTACCACTCCTGGAAGGATGTTCTAGGCATCAACGTGTTATGATGTCATACGATTCATCGCATTGTGAGTCCCACTTTCCCTTTTATACGGACGCAGGCAAGCCCATCATTAAGGGGTTTGTCGCCATTCGCATCCTGTCATGTCTCTTCATCATGAACTTAATGCAACGCAAATTTTTGCTGTCGTTCACGTGGCACTAAGGTTTGACGCTACTCATGTTCTTCCTCTCGTGATATGTGAAACATTTGCCTTCGGTAAGGAACATATTCTAAAATTATGCGGCGAAATTTTGCTGAGCTTGTTGATACAGGTATACTTTCCACCTCGTTACTTCTATGGGTATATTGGACACTGTATGTCTGCATTATAAAATACTGAGCACTTCTTCACATCTGCTTCTGGATGTTCTCAACGTTTGCGGAAACAATAGATTCTTGAGAACAAGATCCACGGTCACGAAGTCTGAAGTAGCGGCAATTCTAGCGACGTACATTTTCTTCTCGCTGCAATGGATTATTATTCTCCAGAATGCGTCGGAAATGCTTGATGGAACGTAAGGAGATAATGTTGTTGTATGCACCCACTGACATTTCGTAGAGCTGTGGGACTGCCTTACTCCGAAATTGGATTAGACCAAGGGTTGAATACATGGGATCTCCAGGACGAGTGGGACCTGCAACTGCTTACAACATATCGTGTACTTCCATTCATTGCCGAGACAGCTTTTCTTGGTGCGCTTGTCGCGGATCGCTTGCGGGAACATACACTGAGGTTGATAGATAGGCTCCTTAACAACACTCTTGGCGATCGTGTCTTATCTTGTGGTTCGGTAAGCCCTTTGAGTTGATTTATGATGATGGTACTCACGAATAATTCGGCCCCGACAGGCAATACAGAGCTCGAACAGATTCAGCCCTCAATAAACGCATTGTTCGTATCGTATCCTGGGTCATGTGCCTTTGCTCGCTATTGCATTGGTGCATCGACCTTCTGGCATGGAGCTCGTCATTTCAGTTCTTGTTCACGCAGCATACTACCGTGGATCTCGACAATATGTTTATCTACCAAATATATATCGACAGCATCTTGAACTACATTACCGTGCGTTTTCATCTCTAAAGGTTGACGTTTATATCGGATTAAGCAAACCTCAGATTCTTCTCAGTGATGCTGTCATACTCTGGCGCATGTGTGTGTTGTGGGAAATGCGTCACGCCTTTCTGTGGACCTCGGCTGGGTTAATACTGACAACACTCGGTGTGTACTCAGTGATACCATATCATCGATTGCATGCTCACTCAGACCTGCATCTATCAGCGCTTTCTATAGCCAATACGGTGTCGCAGTTTGACCACATTGGCTCCATCAAAACACCCATGTATATTGCTGTACCCGTGTTCAGCGGATCCATCTACGGGTTGCTGGCGATGGTCTTCTCCTTGTCGTCGAACTTCATCGCGACTGTCGCAGTCGCCTACAGAGCATGGTGAGTCCCGATATAACCACTTCATCGTGACCCTGATCCGAAACTTGGATGCACTCAGGCAACATCGAAAGATTCTTCGAGTACAGCTACAGAAAAGTTCTCGCAGAACGCTTGCGGAGAGGATTATGAGCATTCTTGTAGAGTCTGGCGCAGCTTACTGCTCTATCTGGGTGAGTCTCCTTCCGTCCTAGCACCTTGGATGTTCCGACTCTCTTGCTTCAAGATAATTTGGGTCATTGCCAGCTACGTACCTGTTGAGAATGAGAGCCGCACGTCCACAACGCCATTATTCATCGACTACATCAATGCTATCATGGCACAACTCACAGTGAGTTGCTATCATGTTTATCGTATACGCAGCTTACGACCATTCTGAGTCTATTTATCCTTTGTTGATTCTACTCCTCGTGCAATTGGAGCGTACACACAGTGATCAAGTCTTCTCAATCCGCACTGTTCATTCTAGAGAGCTTGCATTCTCTCCATCGGTCGTTCTTGATATCATCTCACACAGTCTCGAACAAGAGACAGCTGGGGGAGCTCCCACAGTATCAGAGGCCTATGGCAAGGAGACCGACGTCGAAATATGTGGGATGGTGAATCTGTGAGCCCGATGCCGCAATGATATAGCAAGTTATCCTGCCAATCATGTTCCTTGGGATGTAGTTATAACAACACCGAAGGCATTCCGTCGGTCCAGTTGTCGACGAGCAGTCCTGCATGTCCTGTTGTGGGATGGGTCAGAAGCACGCACGGCGATCAAGTTATCCTCGTATAGCTCGATCGATATGGGAACAGAGCACCGACGGACATAGTGCCCATGCGACACGGTCGGAGACGAGATGGTACAGCAGACAAATTGCAGCACGTTTCAACTCGAATAGTAATATGCGACTCTTATCCTCTGCGCATCACGTCAGTAAACGAATCTTTCGCTGACACCATGATGTGGAGACTCAAAGAGCTTAAGCGCAATCGATCATTGTGCTAATGAGCCGGGTGATGAGCAAAAAAAGATGAAGGGTGGAATCCTACGTGAGATCGTGACTTCTCCGGTGATCGTGACTTCTCCGGTGATCGTGAATTCTCCTGAAGAACACGCCAACACGAAGGGTTGATTCATCATCAACTTGACTGGAGAACACGCACAAATGAGAGGAGCTTGCCGTGTGATAGAAATCGATGAAACCAGAGAAGAAGAGTTAACACGTCAATCCTCGGACTTGCAATAGCGATCCAAAGCATATGAGTGAAGGGCGGCGCACGACGAGACACAGCTTCTCGCGATACCATCATTCCCGCACAACGAGTTTTGGGTGATCGCTTCAGGGAAGCCGGGATATCGGAAGCGCGCAGCCGAGGGTTATGACCGGATTTGTGGATGCTAGGTACTGCGGCAGAGTCTGCTTGGAGTCTGCGCAATAGCAAGTCGAACAGTCAGACATGAGCGAGGGTGAAACGGGAGCAAGCGGTATCATCTTCGACAAGAGCTGCAACAGGACACGGGTACAACAAGCAGGGTCCGAACGCTTGTAGTGACTACGCTCCACACGCTCAGCTGGCCGACATACTCGAGTTAAACGAGAGCAACGATTGTGCATATAGTGACCACTGCATACGGTCCAGGGGATCGCGAGATACGATGAGAGGTTGGCCTTGCGGACGGTCGCGTACAAGGACACGTATCCTGGATCGTGTCAATCTCGAGCTTGAATGCGGAGGGATGACGCAAGCCCTCACCAGCGAATAACGTGGCTAATCGTGAGGTCAGTACAATTCTTCGTATACGAGGTAACGAGGAGGAGAACGCACCAGCGTCCAAGTGGGAGACCTTGCTAAGGTTGGTGAGGTGCGGAAAGGCTAGCATGGAACGCGGAATGATACCGTGGTGTGCGAGGGTACATCGCAGCTGATCGACACGCGTTAGGACGAGTCACGGACCAAAGAAGGGAAAACTCACCGGTAGCATTCGTGTCCGTTCTTCACCATAGCCAGCGATCGAGATAAACGCCCGCAAACTTGCGCGCCCATTTTCTACCACAACTAAAGCGTTGACCTGTTGCGTCCCATATTGAGGACGAGCTAGGTCCCTCTGGACGACCTGAGAGATGGTCATTCCGTCTCCAACGAATGCAGTGACCTCGTTGCCGCATTCGCTACCGGAAGAGACCAGCGCGAGTGATGGGTTGCTGCCATATCAGTCCGCCAGTATAGTTTCAGCCTGAGAATGAGACCGTTTGCATGCCAAGCGGCGGGACGGAAATAGAGCCATGGAGTCGCATACTATATGAGATCGTCTCTTCGGCCAGATGGTCGAATCGGCCAGTCACTGACACGTCACATCTCCGCGCTGATGTCCCATCAGAAACTTTGGTACTCCGCTCGGGGTGGCCGACTCGTCCTCGACAGACGATTTTTCGTACGATGTCTGAAGCTCACGTTCTATTATGAAGGATGTAAGCTACAGTAACAGCAACAATTTACAGCTAGCCGTGAGTAAGAACATAATCTGAATGAGTATCGTGGTGATTAAGAGTCAAGGTCGTCAACAAGCATGTTTGAATCAGAACTCCCCGGGCAATCATGCGAGGCTTCATCAGATGTTGGGTCGAGAGATGTCAGATGCGATGTGGAATCGGGGCAGGCTCTTTGCGCAGAGCGTCGGGAAGACTTGAAAAGGCCTGCAAACCGGTTGAGCTTGCTCTCGAACAGCGAGTCTGTCGTACTTTGATGCTGTCGTCCAATTCGGATAGTGTGTGCTCCGCTGCGTTTCTGGGTTCGATCTGCACCCATTGGCAGAGCAATACTGACATGAAAATGAGTGAATACTTGTCTGTCGTCGCGTTGCCTGACGCGTTGCGACGCGTTCAGTGTTTGAACTCCGGCCGGCTGTCATCCGGCATTGTCGGCACCACATCA